CATTGAATAGTATTCCATCCTTTGTTTCCTTATTCTTTTCCACTGTATCACTAAACCGAATCCCTTATCTTGGCAGCGACTTCGCGTAATGCTGTTGAGCTGCACAGGAGTATATAGTCACGACCACTGCAGGTCCCATTATCCGCAAAGAGTGGAGCTCGGCGCTCTGGAACCACGGGCAATCATGGCTTCCGAAATGCCTGCCATGAATGGAGACAAAATCAAATCCATCACGGAATCCAAGATGTCCGACTTTGCGATCAATGTTCCCCCGACTATCGCCCAACGGCACGGTCCCTAACCCCACATCCGTATCCCGCTTGACGTAGTTCCGGCGCTGGGCGCGTTTCCTACCTCCAATTGCGGGGTAAACTTGACCTTGATCACGCGTACTTGGTTGCCTCGGCTTCGGTTGTTATCTGATAATGATCTTAAGAGTAAGTAAACGCGTAGAGCTTCCGTCTGGACTACGTGAAGCGGTCCGAATCTGCTGTGTGCGCGATTGGTCCGGTAGGTGAATTGAGTGGGGAGTGGGTTTGTATAATGGACTACCTCCAGGCTGTGGGTGGAGATAAGGTAGGTAGCTTACGTAGAGTAAGGGTAGTGTGCTTAGTCGGAGTGAGGGAGTCTGGATGGTGGCTCGTGGGTGCGGGGAAAGGTATATGTACGGTGTTCTCTGTCAGTTTTCGTTGGTTCATCTTCTACTCATCCATTCTAGTCGCTCTTCCTCCTCCTACGTATCATCTCCTACCCATACTTCCTACGCCTAATAGTACAACATACAATTGCTCAAGATGTCCCTCCCCGCCAAATACAAAGCCGCGATCTACGATGCGCCCGGCTCTATCTCAACCAAGGTTGTCGAACTGGAGATGCCCCAGCCGGGCGCGGGTGAAGTCTTGATCAACCTCACGCACTCCGGTGTCTGTCATTCCGATCTGGGTGTTATGACGAACTCCTGGAAAACGCTGCCATTTCCCACCCAGGCAGGGCAAGTGGGTGGTCATGAGGGTGTAGGAAAGATTGTAAAGATGGGTCCTGGAACAGAGAACTCAGCAGTCAAGATTGGAGATCGCGTGGGAATCAAGTGGATGGCGGGAATTTGCGAGGCGTGTGAGGCTTGTAGAGCGGGAATTGATGCTTCGTGTTTCTCTGGTGTAAGTTTAGCTCGTTGCTTTGTTGAAAATCGAAACTGACATATGTTATAGAAAGTATCGGGATACTACACACCAGGTACCTTTCAGCAGTACGTCCTCTCTCCTGCAAACTACGTCACACCCATTCCCGAAAGCCTCGATTCCGCAGCCGCTGCACCCCTCCTCTGCGCTGGTGTGACAGTCTACTCTGCACTCCGTAAGACAAATGCCGAATCGGGTGCTTGGGTCGTGATTGCTGGTGCTGGAGGTGGATTGGGTCACTTGGCCGTACAATTCAGTGCTCGAGGAATCGGCCACCGCGTAATCGGCATCGACCACTCTTCCAAGAAGGACATCATCATGGAGAGTGGTGCCGAGCACTTCATTCCTGTAGACGGCACAGAGAACATAGTCGAAGCCGTTCAAGCCCTCACAAACGGCCTCGGCGCACACTCTGTCGTAGTATGTACGCAAAACAACGCTGCGTACGCTCAATCAGTCGATCTACTTAGATTTGGTGGTCGAGTAGTGTGCGTTGGTATCCCTGAGGGCGATGTTGTGCCCATCAAGAGCGCGAACCCTGGTGTTTTAGTCGCCAAGTCGTTGCAGATTGTTGGATCAGCTGTGGGATCGCGGAAGGAGGCTATTGAAACCATGGAGTTTGCGGCACGCGGAATCGTCAAGACGCATTTCAGGACGGAGAAGATGGATAAGCTCACAGACGTATTCAACGAGATGCATGAAGGGAAGCTACAGGGCAGAGTTGTGTTGGATATGACTGAGTAGACGGGACCTTACATTTGGTATGCCTGCTGTGCAAAGATGCGTATCAATTGATGAACTTAGTGTTTGCGGAGGATCGCGCTTGGATCTAGGAATGTACAATGAGCAAGATAGGACAAGAATAATATAACGTTAAAGATACCTACAAGCCACCCTTCCCTTGATGCGGACATCTAACATATTCCGAACTCCATTTCCTGTTGTCACCAAGGCTGACTGGAGCTTGACATCCCTCCTCGCAGTTCAAGAAAATCGTTGAATCTAAGGTATTCATTGTACTCTTCTTGCAATTGTCGTCTGGTTTCCACACGCGCCCGTGATCTCTCAATCCGCCTGCTTTTTGAACAATCTGCGTGAGGCAAGATGTCAGATTCTGGGATCTTAAGGCAAAGAGACAGGCTGGATTTGTTGCTTACATTTGAATGGCTTGCACAGCCACTGCCTCAGCTTAGGCGAGGATAGAAGGCCAATCAAGATGCCAAGTGCTGCGATGCAGACACCAATCAGCGTAAGGATAGCCTCGTTCGATAACCCAACCGTTGCGTCCTGGGTCGATGCTTTCCCGCTTCGGTGCGTTAGGGCGGGCCTGAGAGGGCCGGCGTCGATATCGGATGCCCAGAGGAGCAAGAGCAGAACTTGTGAACATGATCGTGGCATCGCATTAAAAGGTATGTATAGGTCGAATGAGTATGGGTGTACGGAAGTGCGGAGTCACATACAGATACTCAGGGAGTTAGACTTCCGATGAGTCTATATCAACAAGAACTGTGAGCCGCCCACACTGATATATACTGAAAGTAGGTGGGATTACTTTCCTTTCATACCTCTTCGGACGCAGCGAATGTTATCAGCCTCATGCGCTTGCATACGGCGGCCGCGGGCACTGTCCGACCGGAGGCTGTGCAAACCCCGGCAGACGAAAGCGCTGGGAAAGCTTTGTATGGTAGAATCTCAACATGCGCTTCGACGGTAGCTAAGCGAGGCTATCTCTCGGCTACTGCACGAATTGCATGTTGTCTTAATTTCATGAGTTCGAAGCGGACAAACGTGGTACCTGACCGGTAAAGCCACGCTCGGTCAGGTCACACAGGCTGAGGTTCGTATTGCGCTATGAGTAGTTGAATCGTCTTGCGCGATGTACGCGTATGCTCAGTAGCTGTGCATTGAATGGGATATACCCGGTGCATAGGTTTACAGATGCCTAGCCAACCCATAAGGCGGTGGTGGAAGTATCGTATATTTCATGTTCAAATATGCGGCAAGGAAATTACGCCACGTAGATGACATCCGAAAAGGTCACAGCTTGCCACTTGGCACAGGGCAAGAGTGTGGAGGTGTGGATGAGAATTGCTTTTTTGCTACATTGCACGGATGGTCTGGGTGATACCAGATCCAAGTGGATGCGCACGTTCACTCAATATCCACTATTTCGAGGAAACCTGTTCGAAGCATCAAGATTGTGGTATATAAGGAATTGGGGCAGCTTTGAATTTGTCGATTCTTCGAGGTTGAAGAGTATACCGTGGAGTTCCATCCTCATACTTGTCGGGTGCGCTCGGAGTTATAAACGCTCTGACAACGGTACGCGGCTAGTTGTCGGTTTCGACCTACCTGACTTATCCACTGTCGGTATAAGATCCTCGTCGGGTATATAGTCTTTGAAGTTGTCGTTGATGCTGTCTCTGACGCCCACCTGGTTCCGATTTCTTGACTTCCACCTAGGCATCTCCCCATTTTCTGTCCGACCTACACCCATTTCTCTCCACTTCTTTGGAGGCTTGATTCCCATTTCAACCAAGTTGGACCATATCCTCTCTCCGCGCTTATTCCACCTCTCCATCCTCGCTTCGTATTCTTCGTCGGATGGTCGCCACTTGCTCTTGAGTATGCGACGAATGGCTTCGGGTGAGACTTTGAAGTGCTCTGCAAGGACGGGTGTGGTAAATTTATCGGGCTGTGTGCTGTGCAAGTGCCGTATGCCTTCCATGGTGTCGGGCGACAGCTTCTTGCGCGGGTTCCACGCCTCGCCTCCCAGTTTCTCTTTTAAAGCCTCCTTTTGCACTGCCCATGCCGGACGCTCATTCTTTCGTTCTAACTCTCCTGTGAGAGCATCTTCTACTTCGATTTCGGGGTCCGCTTTTGGTGGTTCCGCGGTGGGTATGATAGACGCTTTGCGCGGTCGACGCGCATCGGTCAAAAACCGCGATTGTTGCGGGTGTAGTATCGGCCTTCGAGCAGCGAAGAGTTGCTCGGAGTTTACGAAGGAGCGGATGAAGAGACTGAGCGTCGTTCTGGCGCAGTTATTGCAAGTCATGATGGGCGCAATGTTTGAGATTCGATGGTGCTCTATTCTCAAAGTTCATCAGATTATCGCACGGACCTGCACTTCTTGCCACAGGCAGGCGACTAACACCCACTTCACCACCAACACCATCATCGCAGAATCTAACATGCATCGTCGTACAGAATAGATCTATGCGCCTCCATATCATTTGGTGATACCTCCAATATTTTCTTATATAAATGTTCATTCAAGACACTGCCAGCTCCGTAGTCTCCTCATCTTGTCGCGATACAGCACCCCTCGAGACTCAGGCCCTGTTCGCTTGAGAGTCTCCAAGGCGATATGCCATTTTCGACTTAGCATTAGAAGCATTTGATGCAAGAGTTTGCCTGACAATCTCGACGATCTTTGCCTTACGTTCGTATCCTCGGTCCTTCTCATCTTGCGCATATCCTTGACAGCTTGAGTCCTGCCTTTCCTTCACAGCCATAAGGCTTTATATTTACCTATCATTAGTCTCATTTTCAATACTTTTCAAGCGCCCATTTTCGTATTCAGCTACTGATTCTCTCTGCTTCCTGTGTGTTGGACGTCAACTCCATCGTTGTACTGCTTAGGCGCTATGAAAGCCAAGACGATACCTCGCTTCCTGCGACCTACTCTCGTCAATTCGAACCTATTTCGTCTTCTTCCCATGTACACATGAGATTGCAAAGGCCTCCGATAACAGACCGAGCGGTTGTGGAGCAAATAACGAAAACTGCGACAAGGTTGAAAAGTGCAGCTGGGTTCAGTGGCGTTTTCCGTTCGTTGGGATTATTTCTTAGTAGCCGGAGGGCGCACGACTAGTGTAGATGGGGGCCACAACGTCCTTGACCTTATCACCAAATGTAGAACGTTGTGCAGTTTGCGGAGCGCCTTCGGCGGAAGGCTTTCTATTGAGGAATGGAGGTTCAGCGATGATCAATTCGGCATATCGAAGAGGGCGACAACGGCACTTCAAATATGTGCCTATACCCTAAGTCCTGTCGATTAGTTTGGTATCTCTCTATTTTGAACTACTACTATCTTCCATTCATTACGAGCCATCAACCATATCCAGGATGTCTACACGATTTAGCCGGTTCTTTACCATCATAATTTTCGGAGCTTATCTTGTCATTCCGACAGAAGCATTCCCAGCTGACTCTTACACACCAAGACCTGAGCCTCGAGCCCTCGAGGTCACAAACGCAAAAAACCTCAGGCAGCACATCGAAGTCTACGGTATACCATACGGGGTTCTAGGCGCTGTCTCTCATGCCCTCACCTTTTACGTTATGCTCTGTCACTTCCTTGGAGTGAGGCCTTTGCTTCCGTGGATGGCACTCAAGAAAGAACGCTGGAATATCACCGTAGTCACACTCTCCTCGCTCGTCTCCGTCATCCTTGCAGGCGTTACCATGGCTCGCACACGAGGATCTCGCCCACTACTAATACTTGCCGGGATGCAGATCGTACTCCACGTTCTGGTGGACATCATCCATATACACTGTATGGTTAGCGATCGACGTAATTTTGCATGCTTCTGGGCGGTCCCACTTCTGGTCGTGTCGTTCTTCTCAATATTTGCTTTTTACTCATTCCCGTGTAAGTTACAATAACTTATCTTGTATACATCCAGGACTGATTCATGGATCACAGTCGAAGATGAAGATGGCAGAGTTGGAAGCCTCATCGGCTCTGCTATCTTTATTGTGTTGCTTGTATATATTGGGTTGACCGGGCTCGCGACCTTGATCAATATGCTCGTATGCATCTTCCGTCTATTTAAGCAACCTGCACCATTTGGGTTTGCTGTTGCAGCTATTCTGCTTAGCTGCGGGCTCTACTGGTTCGGTGATTTTGGCATGGCTATTGTGACAAGGAACACAATAGGGACGCCTTCGGACCGAATCAAGGTGCTCTACTATACATACTGGGTGGTGGAACGAATTCCACTATTCACCTTTTGAAGGGCAAGTTGGCTGCATAGTCAGAGAGTCGAGGAGTTCATACGATGTAGTTGTAATACTTGGTTGTATCCGGAAAGCGTTCGATTTAAGCTAGTACTAGGGTAAAACTACGTCCAAATCGGCTCCTCCTTCAAGCATTGTCCCCGCACTAGTAGGCGAACGGGTCTACCGTGAGTGGTGACATCAACGAACATATGTCAGTGCCTCTTCACGCTATCTCGACAGCAACGCTTCGGTGGCAGTTTCCTCCAAAGATTTCGATCGCGGGGCGAATGCGGCAAAATGGAAGTGGATCCCCTCGCACCCATGCGCGCTAGGGCCTCGGTATCATATGACGGAATATCCTCGCCGTACTTGTGCTGCAGTTCTGCTTCGTCCGTTATTTGAGCGTTTGGCATATCATCAGCGAAGTTTGTCTTTCCTGCACTCGTTTTTACTCAAGCATGGCTTTGTCGAACCCGTTTCAAAGGCGGACAGCCAATACCAGAGAGTATGTCCGGAAGTGGAAGACTATTGATCGCACGTACTAACCGCTATCAGCTGCTGGGGCTACCGGTTCGAGTGGACGCCTGAACATCTGACTCCGGAACAGATGAAACCTATGAAGTTTTCGTACGATGTTCTGGCAGAGGAATGTCTTGATCGTTTGAACGCTATCTCGCCACCGCACAAGGGTGCTTTGCCAAGGAACGATAGTAATCGTGCCGCGCTATCGTCAGTTCCGGGCACCGAGGAAGAGAAGAAGGAACCATTGCCGGTACCTAAGAGGGACCTCTACACTTTACTGGAAGAGTATCACGACTCCGATCCCAAGCTTGCAGAGCTTTGGCGCGAAGTACAGACTGTACCAGATTGGGTGGACTGGGACCAGATAGCAAGAGGGCAAGATGTGTTCTACCGATACGGTGGGCCTGCCCTGACTGGTCTTACTTTCCAATCGCTACTAGGAGGAATGGGCGCTGCGCGAGTGGTCGAGACATTAGCCCGAACTGGAGGCTTTAGCACAAAGGTCGCAAGAGGCAGACTCTTCGAAACCACACAGCATATCCTCCAATGCACACGAACACTAGACGGACTCAAACCAGGCGGGGAGGGATTCGCCTCGTCGATACGCGTCCGCTTCCTACACGCCGCAGTCCGACAACGCATCATGAAGCTCGCTAAGGAGCGACCCAGTTATTTCGACGTCGAAGAATGGGGGATACCGATTAACGATCTGGATCAAATAGCAACGATCGGTACCTTCTCCTCTACACTCATCTACCTCAGTTTCCCTCGCCAAGGCATATTCCTTCGGAAGCAAGAGATTGACGACTACCTAGCCTTATGGCGCTACATCGGGTACTTGATGGGCACGCCCGATGAATGGCTGTCGACCCCAGCAAAGGCAAAGGCTATCATGGAGTCACTCCTCTACCACGAAGTCGACCCCTCAGAAATGTCCAAAACAATGGCAAACAATATCATCTACGCCCTCAAAGAAGAGCCTCCAACTTTCTCCTCGGCAGACATGTTGACAGCCAGTGCACGCTGGTTAAATGGTAACGCGCTCTGCGACCGCCTCGGTTTAAAGCGCGTTTCCGCATACTACTGGTCGCTCATGGCTGGCCAATGTCTCTTTTTCATCTTCTATTGCTACACATATCGTTTATTCCCCGATGCGGATCGTAGACGAATAGATCGCGCAAAGGACATCTTCTGGCAGTTGATAGTGAAGGCGAAGTGGGGATTGGCAGGCATGGAAACATCATTTGATTTCAAGTATGTGCCACAATATGATACCTTGACACATCTGGGTAATATTGGAGAGAGGAAGAAGGTGTCTCTCAGTAATGAGCTGAGGAATTTGAAGGCGCTCGGGATTGGAGTGGGGGTGTTGGCTGTCGGGACGTTGGTTGCGGTCAAGGTTGCAGCGAGTGTTATTGGGAGGTTGTGGTAGCTTTCGTGTAGATACTTTGTTAGATGTGCGTAAGTGAAGGCACCTCTTACTTGCCGCACACCCCACCGCCAACAGTTATATTTTACCTATTCTTTCTCAACTATAACTTTGACGTCCTCATATCGCTATTCCTGACTGTTGTTCGCGCGACTGCAACAACAGGAAGATTCCCATACACTAATTACTTTCGGAACCCAAGACGTATCAGCACCAGCCGTTATCACAATGGGAAAACGCAAGTGTCCTCAGAATAAGAAGCAAGATGGCGTTTGTGGCTGCCCTCCGTTTTGGAGGCGCTCTAAAGCCAATCCACTATCCAACGTCAAGGACTTGTCTACACCAAGCACCAAGCTCCCTCCCGATACTATTATCATTGACAACGAGCTTGAGAATGACAGCGACTTGCATCAGCGAAGGCGACAAAAGCGAGAGCATAATGTCTTCCGTCAAGATGGCGAGGTAGGTCCTGCGAGATCGAAGCTCTCAACGTACACGAATAGCAAAGTCTTGATTGCAAAGCATCCTGGAAACAAACAAGATATCGCAAAGATGAACACACGAGCACAGGAGAAGGCGGCCGTGAAGGAGAAGGCGAAGGCGAAGGTGAACACGCCGGTACGGATCTTGGTCGATTATGTCTTACCCACTGGTGCTGAGCGGTTGGATTGGGATACAGACGAAGTCCGTAGAATGGCTGGCGAGATTGAGGGTGGAGGATACAGGGCTTAGAATTGGATTAAGGTGACAGGCATAGGGAAGTGTTTGCGAACACGACTGGTGATCATCTGTCATATCGGACTTTGAAGTCCTTAAATGTTCATACAGAATGCAAATATCATAGCTGATGAAACACTAGTGTATATGCATTCTATTAGATGGGTATAGGTACTGCCTAGCGGAGATTTTGCGAAAAGTATGCAAGAATATGAGATGAGAGCCATAGCCACCATGAGCGTCTCCAGTTGTCACCAGACATATGGCTAAACCGAAATTAGTCAACAATCCAGGGGTGAGGATTTAATGTACTGACCTTGTTCTCATAAGTCCAGAAAGTACCACTGTGTTGTATGCCTTTGCTTTTGATGACTTCGATCATCTTCATGACCGACTCTTCTGGCGTGATTATGCCTTGGACTTCCCATGGCAGTTGGACGTTCGCCATGTCTGTTGCAACTTCCCCCGGGTGCATGCATAGGATGATGGTATCATCGTCTTTCCTCTTCAACTCAGCAGCCATATGTCTGACCGCCATGTTGAGTGCAGCTTTGGAGGCAGCATATGCAGCGAAGCCATCTTCCATTTCGCGGAAGTTACCTTGGGAGCCCGAATCACTGGACATGAATGTGATGGTGCCGATAGGAATGTTCGTTTGAAGTAGCTTCTGGGCTGTGATGATAGGCCCGATTGTGTTAGTGTGCAGATGGAAAGCGAACTCGTCGAACGATCTGCCAGATGTTAACCTTCGATACTACAAGTACCTGAGAGCAATTGAAGTTTATTGGAAATGCACGCTTTAGCCAGAACCAGCAAGGCGCAACGGGTTGGGTAATGGAGAACATACAGCTCAGTGGCCCTCTACATCGGTTAGTGCGGCTCCCTTGCATGCTGTCGACGATGTCGGACTTACATTCGGGTACCTTAGAACACCTGCGTTTAGCACGACATAGTCTATCTTTAGGTTCGGTATCATTGCCAGCTGCGCAACGAATTTCTGTACATGATCAGTTTCTGTTCATCTCAGATGGTACTGTAGCATTTAGTAGACACGCATACCTCGATGCTCTGCTCTGACAGAATGTCACATGTATACATTTGGCATCGGCCATGATCGCTCCCCGCTTGTCCCCACAAGCCACTGGCATGACCAGCCCAAGGCTCTCGTACAGTAGCGATGATGCGCTCGTTCTTATTTAACAGCTGTCTGACGAACTCTAGCCCTATGCCTCTGCTGGCGCCGAGTATTAGCCATGTGGTAAAGTCCTCGTCGGCATATAGAATGCCTGGAATCTGGTCCATTCGGTCTGTCGAGGTGTGGCGGGGCAAACGATGATGTCAACCGTTCAGCTGGGGCTGAAGTGTGACTGATCAACACTAGAAGGCTGCTTGTGACGAGGGTGGAATAGTGACGATCCTGGTCGGCACTTGAAATAGTAATGTGCTGCTGTCCAGATAACAGAGGACAATACTCATGACCCTGGCCCGTTATGTTAGGGGACCAGAAGCGTGGAGGTGCGCGGGTTAGTGGATGTCACATCGATTTGCGGACCCTTGTACAGGCTTCACATATCGTATTTGGTGCCAAAAGCAGGGACGGGGACGAAGCATCCTGCAGGGCGGCCAGATAGTCCAGACGCTTCTATTTCAACCACCGGAGAAAGAAAAGCTGATTTCTTTTCCCATGGTTGGCGGTACGGAGAATGCTGATTTTGCCCATAGCAGCCAGCGCAACATTTCTTAGATTGGTGACGGCATCACCTCACAAGCTCCACGCGAGATTGCCGAGTTTGTAGCAAAATAGTTTAGGGAGTCGCAGTGGGCGGCGTGGCGTGAAAGTACTAACGGCAAGTTGGCTGAGGAACAGAGACCAGATTCGGCGTCTGCACCGCCATTCCATCGCGATTCCTGTTTGCCATCCCGGACCGGTTCCACCCGAGCACATTTGCTACTGACTTATAGTTGTCATCTGATTGGCTGATCCCGTGACCCGTGCTCGCGTCAAGGCCCGTCATTTCATCGCGGCTAACGGCAGGATTCTTAAAACTCTCACAAGTCTCTCAACTCCTACTTCGCCAGTTTTTCTCCCAAGCAGACTCTCAACTACGACCACGACCACATTACCTCTTACCACTTCACCTCCACCAACACTTAATCTTACCAAAACCAACCTCACATCTTCAAAATGGGTTTCGAGAAGGGTACGTTTTCTTGACACCTGTCGGACGTCATCGGCCGTTTTCCACTTTGCCTACGAGCGTCCACCAGCCATTGAGCCCGCGCGCACAACGAGATGCGAACCTCATGAGCAACAGACTATCCGCGGCCTACTGGCTGGGTAGTGTGCACCTCAAGAAGCGGTGTGCACAAGGTGGCAGCTTTGCGACAAAGGGGTGACGGTGGCGGATTGTTCGGCTGTAAAAGAAAAATTGTCCACGACACATGGCTAACATCTTCCACAGGCGATTCTAAGAAGGGTGCCAACCTCTTCAAGACCCGTTGCGCTCAGTGCCACACCCTGAAGGAGGGTGAGGGCAACAAGATCGGCCCCAACCTACACGGTCTCTTCGGCCGTAAGACCGGTCAGGTCGAGGGCTTCTCATACACCGACGCCAACAAGCAGAAGGGCATCGAGTGGAACAACGACACTCTCGTACGTTTCGCCACACAAAGACACATCTGGCAGACTCGTCGGCTAACACATCACAGTTCGAGTACCTCGAGAACCCCAAGAAGTACATTCCCGGAACCAAGATGGCTTTCGGTGGTCTCAAGAAGCCCAAGGACCGTAACGACTTGATCACCTTCCTCGCTGAGGAGACCAAATAAGCGTCTCTCGTCATACGAACGTTTATTCCATCCTCTCGACACGCCATGACCTTTCTCTAATACCTTTTCGACCCAAAATCTGTTTGGATTGTACCATCATCGATGATAGACGAACGACGGAGGCGGTAAGCGCAGTAGAGCGCATTATTCCTCCATGTAGATTATGTTGGGTGTATCATTTCAGGGCGTCTTTCGACTTTGGTGCAGCATAGAGCCAGTTTGGAACTTAGTGGCACTTTCGAAATACCAAATCTCCTCTACCGACCATACCTAAGCTTCAATATGATGTTGTGAACAGGTTGCAGTGCCTGTAGTCTTGAACAACTTAATGTCGTCTTCCAAAGATGCAGAATTGGCGAAATTATCAATTGCACGCCTACAAACCTCCACAGACTGAGCCAATGGCATACATGGCAAATTTTCTGACACGTTGCGCGATATTTCCACAAAATGTACAGACTAACAACGATAGCTCAGGACTAGCCACAAGGGTGCGACTCACGCGAGCACCGAACATGCTCGCTGCTCGGACCTGAGGAACATGCAGCCAGGAACTGGGAACATGCGCTCTACCGGTGCTTTCTCCGAGAGCTAGCCGAGGGTAGTGTGGCTGGAGCTTTGGGATGCTTGCGGAAGAGCATTTGCAACGACAACAGTGTCAGTCTGGGCAGGTCAACGTGGGCAGTAAAAACAAAGATGAGCCAAAGATTGACACACTCAGTCTCGTCAAGTGCGGGATACCAGTGATTTAAGCGTGAGGTTTCATGGCGCCTTTTGCCCATCTTCTCCACGTGAAAGCAGTTCAAGTGTGGGGGAAGCGCAGGTGCTCGTCGCAGTGGTGTCATCGCCGGAAGACTCCGTGTACATCAACCATCTAGTCTGTGTCACCGGGCACACGAGCACATGTGTCTCTCTTCCACTCCATCCTTCACTTTCTCAACCCGCTTCCGAGCATACAAACGCGTCGTTACCTCGGCCTGTGCCATCACGACCAATTAGCGTCATAGTGGGGCGGAGCTGGGCTTCGGTAGCTCGACAGTGAACACCACCACCACCAACACCACTTTGGCGAAGACGCAGCGACAAAGGCCGTTACGGCCTCGACAATTGGCATCATGTCGTGGAAACGGAGCGAGAGGTTGATGGATACCATCAAAGTAGGCGAGTCTGTCGCATAGCCCGAGTTGTCGCTAACATTTGGATAGCACTATAGCAACTTTCCAGCAACGGGCATGTAGGACCCATAGTCATTCCTAGCAGCCATCTAATGTCCTATCAGGTGTATCTCTACGCCAAATGGTCCAATTTGGAGAGAAGCCATCTACGGGAACCCTCTTCCGCGCGTCACAATTCCTCTCCGAGGAACTGCCCATACGGTTAGCACACCGAGTGCAAGAACTCAATGAACTTCCAGATGGCCTCAATGAGATGCCGTCTATACAAAGAGTGCGCGATTGGTATGCGCAGTCGTTTGAAGTGTGTATTGCTGAGGTTCTCGCTGGAGCGCGTTGACTCATTCAACAGGAACTCGTCGAATTACCCCGGCCGACCCTCTCGAGCGAGATCAAAGAGCGACTACTAAAACCAGCCAAGAAGAGCGGCGACAAGAACTTGATGAGCAAGCCGACCCAGAACCCTAGCATCAAAACTGGACAATACCGATCTGCGCCGACGACGAATGGCAACGGAAACGGAAACTCGAATGGAAACGGCGGTGGCATCACAAAGGAAGTCAAGGGCGCAAGCCGAAGATACTATGCTGCGGCTGACGACGGACAAGACTGGCCACCAGAGCTGGGCGCATACAACACAAAGTTCGCAGACACATTGGAGAAGATCAAGAGGCGGCACGACAGCGTCGTGACCACCGTTGCGCAGGGCATCCTCGAGTGGAAACGCAAGAGACAAAGGATGCAGATTGACCACAATATCCAAGCTTTCCTCGACCGTTTCTACATGTCGCGTATCGGTATTCGTATGCTCATCGGCCAGCACATCGCCCTGACAGACCAACGCTCGCGGACCGATCCCAACTACGTCGGAATAATTTGCACAAAGACCAATGTCCAAGAACTCGCCCAAGAAGCTATTGAGAATGCGCGCTTCGTTTGTGAGGACCACTACGGACTCTTTGACGCACCAAAGGTCCAGCTCGTATGCAATCCGGACATCAGCTTCATGTACGTGCCTGGACATTTGTCGCATATGCTCTTCGAGACCCTCAAGAACTCGCTTCGTGCTGTGGTGGAAAGACATGGTGAAGATAAGCAAGAGTTCCCTGTGACCAAGGTCATCGTTGCAGAGGGCAAGGAAGATATCACCATCAAGATTTCGGACGAAGGAGGCGGCATCCCTAGATCCTCCATTCCACTGGTATGGACGTACATGTATACGACTGTCGACCAAACGCCGAGCCTGGACCCCGACTTCAACAAGAGCGACTTCAAAGCTCCCATGGCTGGGTTCGGTTATGGACTACCTATATCGAGGCTATACGCACGCTACTTTGGAGGAGATTTGAAGTTGATTTCCATGGAAGGGTAAGCATGAACCCACTCCTAACATAGCGCATCCATTAACACTTGATATCTAGATATGGCACCGACGTCTACCTCCACCTCAACCGCCTCTCCTCGTCATCAGAACCTCTGCAATAGCAATTACCCGTCATGAGGGGCGGATGGACGTCGAGCGAACTCATCCGGTCATCCCGAGGAATGGCACAAGGTAACGGTTCGCGAAAGTACAACCCTTTCCTGGCCAGCAAGGCGATGAAGTTGAAGTTGTCTGGTCAGGTGAGTAGGGAGATTAGCGAGAGGAGACAGGTGGGCGATGCGGCGGATATGTTTGCCGATAAGGCGAGTAGCGACGGGGAGAAGCCTTGGTGGAGGAATGTAGGTATGGAAGAAGGCATGTGAGGTGTAAGATGTTGGACTTGAAACAATTATTCAGACAAGTGGCTGAAGGCACTCGCGGATTCGGGTGCCTGCGACCTTGAAAGGTATCATGCTTTGAGCCAGGCATGATGATACGATACGGCGTTTGGCGAATGCCATGTTATGATCTCAAAACACATGAGAATGAGACGGAAAGATAGTTACGCGAAATAGTAACGTTGTTCGTCTTGCCTACGAAACTTCATGTAATGCTTGATATGGAAACGCCAAGGGGTATAAAGCTAACCGTGCTCTGTCCTTTCCCATGAACTAACAAATGCCAAAACCACAATATCCAACGCCGTAATCAATCCACATCTACCTTTAATTACCCCACTTCAACCGTGCCCTTGTCCAGAACTAACCCTCTTTCTCATCTTGGCGATATCCCTCTCTTTACCCTTCGCACTTCTCGCCGGACTTCCACCTGCCACACTTTGCCCTTCTGCGGATCCACCTCCCGAGCCTTGGACCTCCCACTCATCACGCCAAGCTACAGCATCTTTCTCCCATTTTGTGAGGCCAAGGACGACGTTCCGATAGTGCGCGCGCGTTTGCGGTATACTCTGTCTCATGAATCAAGAGTTAGCATAGATCCACCACAATACAAATATAAGAGAGGGCAGAGAGATCGCCATACCTCATTCCTCACCCCCGCAATCCACATAAGCATCTCCTCACTCTCCAATATACTGATCGCCTCATCCCTTCTCTGCCTCTCCTCCCAATCCTTCCCCTGCGGTCCCGCTGCGCCAAAATGGTAGTTCTTGCCTCGCGCTTGTAGACTCCTTCTTGTTTCCAGCATTGATTTGCTGGGAGTTATACCACTACCACTACCACTGCCGCTTCCTCCTAATAATCCTCCTGCTTGTTTGTGCCCCGATCCTTGCCCCTGTGGCGATTGCTGATATACTCTCGGCGCGTCGAACCACCCCGCGCTGGCATCGTTGCTGGGGCCAGCGCTGGAACTACCGGCTAGGTGTTGGGGTGTAGGTGTATTCGGTCCTTGATGTGCACTGTGTGGAGTATTGAATCCATATTCTCCAGGTATCCCACCGCTAGTAGTGGATGCGTGGCCACCGGGGATTGCAGATGATGAACTGGTCATGTTGCTTGTGAGTTGTTCGTATTGTTGTTGTTCGGTGTCGTGTTGGCTAAGGAAGTTTGCGCCGGCCGAGGTTGGGGGTTGCCATGTCATTGTTGCATTGCTGAAAGATTTTGGCGATAAGCTCTGTGTCTGTGTCGCGCGATCGGGCGAACGATGTTGTCGGAGCGCGTTGGGTATGGATGTGGAGGGAGCTTGGAAGCGGAGTGGGGTCTCGATGTTGATGGTCAATGTCCGCGGGGGAGGCTTAGATGGGAAGGTGGCAGCAACGAGACACTACGATTGAGCGTTCCAAGACCTGTCACATATGCTTGTTTATTAGTAATTTACCTACTATTTGCATCGTAGCTAATTGAAAAGTCAGAGCATATGCATCGCTGAAGAAAAGACTCATTATCAGGATGTCCTTTGACATTGATATCTGGTAGCTACTGTCATGCCTTGAAACGTCGACACCTCCTCCCTTTGACCGTCGACCTTGGGATATTGCCGTCTAGTGATGTGACCAAAACGCTGAAATGCTAATCTATGCCAAATGCTTAACACACACACGCCGAGAGATTAACCTTGAGTCGATCAAAACGCAAACCCCACATAACCTTCTCTGTCCGTCTATAGTGTCGATGCTAGTTCGTAAGGATTCTTCCCACATCCGCTCCCAAGGGAAGCGGCGCCGAGCATATTTCCCCGGGAGCTGGATGGAGTTAGGCCTATGTGCTGCCATTTGCAGGCTGATGCTCAGCCTTGCTGCCCTTACCTCGCCAGGTGCTGACTGCCGGGATATCGGCCTTCAGTCTCTCTTCTTGTGTAGAGTACGCCTTGGGCGTCAACTTGATCAACGTGTGTAGTGGGACTTCCATCCATGGGCTCTGCTCCTGCGGTACGTTCATGAAGTATGCGTAGATACACCTGAGAATGGCCTGGTGTGTGACGATCAAAATGTTCTCGCTGCGCTCTAGCTCCATGATGATGGGCTCGAGGCGGATAACGACGTCGCGATATGACTCTCCACCCAAGTAGCGGTAGTTATATTTGTCTTCATCGCGTTGCTTGAAGTCTTCGGGGAATTTTTGCTCGATCTGAGCGTATGTAAGGCCATCGCAGACACCGGAGTCGAGTTCGTCGAGCGCTTTCCATTCCAACTTCTCGAATGTAAGGAATCGTGCGGTTTGAATCGTTCGCTTCAAGGTTGAGGTCCAGACAGTAAGTTTGCGGCCGTCGCCAACAGATTTCGCAACCAGGCCGGGAAGCGCATGCGCGTAGGCGTCGCCTCGCTCTGAGAGGTTGGCATCTCCACCGATTTGTCCTGTGAGGTTGTACTCGGATTCACCGTGCTGCTACGATTAGCTTTCATAGCGTAGTCTCGCAAAGATTACTTACTCGCGATAACCAGATCGAACGTGGCTTGATGTGGAGGTTCATCAAGTAGTACACCACTCTACTCTGGAGATAGTCCTGGATCTGGTTGATGATGACCTGCTTACCCACGTCGATAAGCTTGACATATGTAAGGTCGCGCTCGTCTTCGTCTATTGTCTGGTACACCTTCTCGTAGTTGCGAATACGATTGCGGAAATCTGCTGCAGCTTCCTCTGGATCCTGGCCAACATAGTCTGGAGAAGTCGTCTTTACTTCCAGTATGTTGCTCATAATGAGATCCTCGTCGTCACATTTTGACTCAACGAACAACGTCTCGATGTTCTCCGCAGCACATCGTTCTTGGATCCACCTGCGACGGCTCTTGGTCGAGTTTGTGGCGTCTAGTATTGCGATCAAGCCCCTGCCCTCGGAAAACCACTTGCACATGTCATTGACGGCTGCTTCGGCGGCTGCTTTTCGGAGGCGCTCTCCTTCGGGGTTGGAGGTGTCGAAGAACTCGGCGGAGGGGTTAGGGGTTGCAGTACGGCGATACTGTCCAACGTTGAACGTCTTTGATTTGATCGATAACCAATGTAGGTAACGAACGACTGCATGACAAAGGTTTAGCAGTTGCACAGGATTCTGTAGGAGAAGCTTACCTTTCTGTGCGATCAGACTCTTGCCCCGCGCAGGCAAGCCCACCATGACGACGCATATCCGCGTGTCTTCGGCCTGTACACCAGCACCGTTAGTCTTTCTGCTTGGTCTTACGAACTCGCCAGCAGGCACTGCGCGCATATTTGGCGCATAAATTCCATTGGAGTCTGTCATTGTGTGTCGCGAGTCCAGCTCCCTGAAATCCAGTAACGGCGACGCGAATGTACAAGAAGTTGAGAAAAGTTATGAGATCGGAAATCTAGCCGAAGGTATTCCGATATGCAGCGATAGAATGCGGCTTTTAATCAAAGATGCAGCAAGGACAGATGCTAAGCGGTCAACAGAAGCCACAGGAGTCGCAGAGCTGGAATCGTCTGTTAGGTGAAGCAATAAGTGTATGGACGTCGAATGTCGTGTTGCAGAGTCGTGAGATCGGCCCGGCAGTCAAGAAGCGAGAGGAGATGGATTGATTGACGATGATTCCCCCGCATTCGGTACGGCGTCCTTCTTTTCACAAGCCAGAAAGCAAGCGTTCGGATTGCGGCTCCAGGCTAGCGGGCACGGTGGAGCAGATGTAACGGGTGATTCTCATTCGATAGCAGATGCTCTGGCTGCAGTTGATTGTGTCCACTTGACCGGCAGTCGTGACAGTGCAACAACAGTCGTCGCTGGCGCCTACCAATTCGTGTTCCTTGGGGCTCGGCCTCCAGCAATGGGCGCCATCAGGCCAGTTTCAAGCAGTCGCCGTGTTGCTACGAATTCTCCGGTCGTGTGCCATGATGCCACATGCTTCTGCGGTATGACGACAACGGCTCCAGCAGCATAGCTAGGGGTAGTCCAGAACCATGCCATACATACTAAAGCCGCCGAAAGCCGGAAAGACGTGATGGATGGGTGCGAAATTTCTTTACGTTGTAGTAGTCGCACGCCAGTCGTCGTAAATCGGCGAAAAACAATGGTGCACCCTGGAGATCTTCGCAAGAAAAAAGATAACTTACAGTTGATATCGAGTAGGTCCGAGTGTGACCCATTTTTGACATCAGTACGCGTTGTGATGATGGCGTCACGCAAGCTGTCGTTGTGGCGGGGCAGTGGGCTGGCAAAGTATTGTATGTCTAGCAATCTGTCGCTTGGGTGTTGAAGGTAGGAGGATTAAATGCACATCTCGAAAACGGAGTAGATTGTTCCTCGAAGCTGCTAGATGTGTACACGCAAGCCTGGGGTACGTCCAGACCGCTATCGCTCTGGTACTGCAGTGTGTGATCGCCGCGGGATTGGTTATCTCACATGGCTACCACTATTCTCCCCACGTGTAGGCAACCTGATAACAATGCATAGTGGCTGGCAGCCGCTATTTGAAAAGCACTCATATCCAAAGGTGTGGCCATTACCAATATTAAAGACTTGTATTTTTTCCCAACGGGTTCAACAATGCTCATTATATCGTCTTTCATATACCTATACCAAAACTTCGCCTACGCTATGTGCAATCCTACGCCATAGTCCAAGCTATAAAGATGCGGGTATCTAGCAATGCTGAAATCATCTTGCGCTACAAAATGCGATGCGAAATCAATCTCCAGACGGCCGTTATGTGTCATGGACTCTGATGAGGCCAGCTAAATATCAAGCATATAGTTTGGCCATTCCGTTGACCCGGTGAGCGTCGTCGATTCCACTCTGCAAAGCAAGGAGAGTCGCACTAGCATCGAGCCGTCGTTTTAATGCTGCTGCTGTCCTTTCCTGTCCCCTGCTACCAATGCCTTCTTCAACCCATCGGATCTTGTTGATCATAAAGCTGAGACCTTCGTGAGCTTTGCTCTTCCTGCTCGAAATGCCATACTCGACGGACCCGGTGTATTCTTGGAGTTGCGGAAGGATGAGTATCTCAATCTGCAGGTCCATGTCGGCAGGCGGCGTCACAGGAGCGGCCGGGGTCTTGATCAGAACGTCAGCAGCATCGGTTGGGTCGTTGGGCGCGGTGATGCGTGGATCGAGCATAGCAACATCAACGGTATCATCCCATTCGCCACGTATCCACCCAGAATGGATCGCTGCAGCAATAGGGTCTGAATCATCGCGATACACACGCGCACCCCAAAGATGTCTCTCCAACACAACATGCTGGCGTTGTCGTGGTTTTAGGTAGTATCGAGGTACCCTGATGGTAAAAGTGCAGTTGATGGGGTTGACATCGAAGCGAGGCAGACGTTGGGGTTTCGAGGCATATCCGAATTGATCGTCTAGCGACGAGTTGGGTTTTGGCAGTTCTGTCTTTGCTTCGTACAATTGCGATCCAAGATGCTTACGAGGACGCTTAGCAGCTTCCTCAAGAATAGGTTGCACGTCGTGGACCTTAGTGAGGACCTTCGTGACTTGTTGCGGCGGCTGGTGGGCAACTCGGGGGGCGTGGTGGTGGTGATGGTGATGTGGATTTGCTCCAATATGATGGTGGTGATGAACCGACTGGCCTGGGCCGGCTTGTGGTAAGCTCGCTTGTCGCCCGTTAATCGAAGTTGAGGCTGGTGGCATGGACGCGTCCTCGTCAGGCTTGTGGTGGTGATGATGGTGGTGACTATGCTGTTAGTAAATACCTCGACAGAGGCTGAGTAGACTCACTGATGATGGTGGTGTTTGTTCCGCTTAGCCCCACGAGCGCCAGGTGTTCCTCTGCCGTCAGCGTTCTCCATGTCGAAAATGCCTTCCTCGTCCTTGACTCGTTTCGGCGGCTTTCTGCCTTGCTGAGAGCCGATCCTTCTCATCATTTCGCCGTTGTCCGACTCAAATGAGCCCTGACCGTTTTGTGGCATGGGACTTCCCCGCGACGGAGTCGACGATCCTAAGCCGCTGCCGAGGCCGGAGAACATGCGTCCGAATTCGCTTTTGATACCAGGATCTTTGCCAATTGACAAGGGCTGCGCCTGGGCACCTTGAACAGCTTGTGGTAGTGGGGACGCTCTGCCAGTCCGTCTGCTTGCTTCCAAGCCAAAGCCAATGTGTGATTTGGAGTGTTGCATGGCTTCACCCATCTTGGGAGGCTGGTCGTATAGGGATCGGGATGACAAAGAGCGCGCGAGTGGCTCAGTCCTATGTCGCTCAGAGTTGGGATCGGAGGTAGGAGGAGCGTGATACTGCTCCACAACGCGGTGGCCCAGCTGGTCTACACTGCGTCGCAGCATTTCCTCGGAGCTTGGTGGGCCATAGCGAGGGCCACCTAGCATGTGCGGAGGGTATGGGCCGTAAGTGCGATGCATCGGTGGAGGCTCCTCTGCGCGACTATCCTGGGGAGGCTCGCGAGCAGCACCGGTGGGCGCTGATTGACGCCAAAGACTGCGCGGAGGTTCTGATGAGCCAGAGATATTGCGTTGTGGTTGAGGGGGACTGAAGCCAGATTGCGACACAGGGTGCACAGTCACGGGCCGATCTCTCTCGGACGCGCTGTGATTTGTGCCCGCTAGGAGCTCTGCAGCGTTGGGCCTTGCGTGATGCGACTCGCCCAGTGTGCGTCGTCGCTCCTCAGGTGGTCCAAAAGCGCTGCGCCGACCTGCAAATCCATCGTACATGGACCTCCCCTCTTGTTCAGTGTTTCCTTGGGGACCCATGGGCTGGCTGTTCGGTCGAGATGGGACGTTTCCAGACGGCTGGCGCCCTACATCGTGCGCATATGGACGATGGCCAGGGAAATTCAACGGCTTGTAGGATTGCGCATTTGGCGGTAGCGACTGGCGGCCTGGGTCAGGCGAACCTTGGTTGCTGTAGGACTGTCTGGGTGAGCCAGCCGAAAAGGCGTGTCCCTCAGATGAGCGCGAAGTATTGCTAGCGTACATGCTGCGCTCTGGAGTGGACTGGCGACGGAACGGGGGGAAATCTGATCGTGCGCCAGCTGGCAAGGCACGCCGGGGCGAAGGTGGCTGCATGCTGTGACCGTTGGCGGATGAGGCGTTGGTGGGAGGTGAGGGCTGTGGTTGTGTTGTTTGATTAAGGGCCCCTGTGTCACCCCCGCCGCCGATGAGAGAGGAGATGGACATGCTGCTTCCCGGTCGCAACGCCTGCCCTAAGCCAGGAAGCTCTCTGTTGGCGCCAAAGTTGGAGGTGTACTGTGGACGCTGTGACTGGGATGCATGAAGATGCTGCTGCGTGGGAGAGGATGGGGGAGGCATTTGGGGTCGCGCGAAGGATGGTGGAGGTGGAGGGTCGTGAGACGGGCCTGGAGGGAGAGTTAGTCTGGGACAAAGCTTGAACCATCGCTTTTGGGAGCGGGGCTGTACCATAGGAGGCCGGGGGACTGGCGCGGTTCAGCGAAGAGTTGCGCGCAGCATCGAAGCTATAGGGCGCAGGCGGTTGAGGATTGTTGGAGGCCGTCATTTGCGGTGGAGGGTTCGTCTGAGAGCGATGAGTCTCGTAGTGTATCGGTCGCGCTAAAGACATGGATCAGCACAAGCTCGGACATTGAGTCGCGACTTTTCGAAAGAGGTTTAGAGGCCCGCGGATCGTGCATTAGCTAGGAGCCACATCTGCGGAGTGCGCCATAGAATTCGCCAGACCCATGCCAACTCCACCGACAAATGCGCGCACCGTTCTGCAACCCAAATGCTCGGTTGGTGTGGCTCGGGATGCTATGGCGACACTAGTAGGGAAACACTGCCTGCATTTGCTTGCATTCATATGACGAGAGGGGCAGTGAAGTGCTTTTTCGCAATTGACGTGTCATGCCGCACGTCAATGCAGCCAACGTCTTCCCACTACCGTCTCTTGCCTGGCTTTCCACCACCCAGACAGCCACGCGAGCGGTGCCACAGGGACTGAGACACTCAGGTCAAAATGCAGCCTGGGTGACTTGAGCACCTTTGTGACTGGTAAGAGCTACAAAAATGCGCAAACAAGTCCAGACTACACTACTGATGCTTTGTCCCTGGCCTGTGCACTGCGCAGATGTGCTCTTGAAGACATGGGCAAAGATGTAGACCTACCTGTATTTGACCAACTACCCTGTCCTTGCCCCTCAGCCTGGCCTTGCGGCGCGTTGTTACCAGCGGACCGTCCTTGACTACTGCCTCGAGCATGTTGTGGTCCTGACGGGAGGAATGGGTCGCGACGGGGCATCGAGTACGGGTCGACGGTGTAGGCAGCGTGGGGCGGCTGTTGTTGCGGTTGCGAGGCTGGCGGGTAGCCTGGATACGCTTGCGTCGTCTGCGGGTGGTAGTTCACAGGGCCGTCTGGCGGACGTTGGTAGGGTGGTGGGCGATCCATAGTCGACTTGGGCTCATCTGAGTAGTGAGGACGAGGGAAGATGTCAGGATCGCGAACAGAACCTCGCAAGGTAGTCTGAGTTGATCGTATAGTAGTCAACGAGGGATGTTGTCGTCGTCGTCGTCACGGGGAGCGGCTCCAAAGCGAGCTGCCGTATTGCAGAAGGAAAGAAGCCTCGAGCATGCGAGGAAACGAGAAGGCGCAATGGGACCAAGCGCCAGCATCCCTGTAGGATATAGCGCAGCCCCGCAGCCCGACTAGAGGAAGGTATGACATGTGTGATAGGCCTTTGCACCCACCCCAAGACGTTTGCTCGACAAAAAGCCATCATGATGCGTATACCAGAGAACCCTGGCAATACTTGGTCGATAGTGCCTGACAGTCTCGCCCAGTCTGTTGCCACTCAAGGCACAAAAAGGAACGCGCATGCCATGCGACTCGGAACATCTGACGCCCGTTTGTCGCCCATGCAGCCCGTTCCTGAATCGTTCCTTGACCGCCTGGTGCCAAGCCCTGATCGGCAGGTGCGCCCATCCATGTCACTGGTCGGTCCAGCCACAGCCATCATCAACACCACCACACGCAGCTGTTCCGAACTGCTCCTCGTCATCTGAGGCACACGACACGTGCCAGTCGCCTTCACCCTCAAAACTGCGATATGTGAAGTGCCACCACCTCTGCAACCTATGCCGCTCCTCCCCATGCCTGGCTCCCCCGCTTCTTCCTGGGCCGTCTATCGTGCCCGCTTGAAGGCTGTCTTCCACGGCGCTGATCCACGCGTATGCGCCGCCTTTTGGTTGTTCGGTATGCATGCACCTGAACCCTCGATGAGGGGCAGCACCACGGCAGCTAACAGCCCTAGGCCTCATTAACAATGTCCTCTACGTAATCATCCTCTCCGCTGCTCTCGACCTCGTTGGTCCAAATGTCCCCAAAGGCGCCGTACTTCTAGCCGATGTTATCCCTTCGTTCCTGACAAAACTATGCGCTCCATACTTCATACACAAGATCCCATACACTGTTCGCATCCTCATATTCGTCGCTCTCTCGGCATGCGGCATGCTCATCATCGCCCTCACCCCTTCGCTGCAGGACTCGAGGACCATTGCCATCAAGATGTGTGGAGTGATGCTTGCCAGTCTGAGCAGTGGAGGTGGTGAACTGAGCTTCCTTGGCCTAACACATTACTATGGTCACTTTGCTCTGGCTTCTTGGGGCTCAGGTACTGGCGGCGCAGGTCTAATCGGTGCTGGAGCGTACGCCATCGCGACCAACACGCTGGGCATTACCCCTCGCACAAGTCTACTTGTCTTTTCCTTCCTGCCGCTAATCATGGTCTTGAGTTTCTTTGTCATACTCCCACTTGGGCCGCTGCGTGCTGGCGCTCCGAAACAAGGTGGTTATGAAGCCATCGATAACCAAGGGGACGACGAGGAAGACGAGGTTGCCCAGGCGCATGAACAAGACGATCTGCTGTCTTCCTCCATGCATTCAGCTTCAGGGCGCAGCTTCACTTCCGTCAATAATAAGGGTGCTAACAGTGCACTGAGTAGCTTCCGGGCGAACCTCAACCGGGCGCGAGGATTGTTCTTCCCATAGTAAGTCTATTGTACACACTCTGAATACGCCAGGCTGACCTGCCACAGCATGTTGCCCCTACTCCTCGTCTACATTGCTGAGTACACCATCAACCAAGGCGTTGCACCCACTCTGCTATTTCCCCTCGAATCCTCCCCCTTCGACGAATACCGTTCTTTCTACAGCACGTACAACGCCATCTACCAGGTCGGTGTTTTCATCTCGCGCTCCTCCACACCCTTCATACGCATACACCACCTATACGTCCCATCGTTTCTTCAAGTCGCCAATCTCATCATCCTCGCCCTGCACGCCATGTTCAATTTCATCCCGAGCTACTACATCGTGTGCGTTATCATATTCTGGGAAGGCCTGTTAGGCGGGTTGGTCTATGTCAGTACCTTTGCTGAGATCACGGATAACGTTCCGAAAGAGGATAGGGAGTTTAGTCTGGGTGCGACCAGTGTGAGTGATTCTGGAGGTATATGCATCGCTGGGTTCTTAGGCATGGCCGTTGAGGTAAGTCTGTGTCGCTGGCAAGTTAATCATGGCAGGAATTACTGCAAATTGCAGTGAGATTTGCAATATCATACGCTATCAAAAACCTTGGTTCCACACCGTTTGAATCATCCTTATCATATGACTCTGATCTCGCGGTCCAATCAGAAAAGCCCCTACGACTCGTTTAGAAGGTTGACGTGTGTGAGCAATTGTGATTTCATCGCAGTAATTATAACCACGGTTTGGAACCGGCAAGTTTTTACTCTTTAGTGCATACAATACATCAGCATTCTCTGCTAGATACATATACTCGCATTAATCTTCTACAAGATGTCACCAATCCTTATCTACAACACCACGGGCGGGATAATGAGACTACTCCCGCACGAGGCTTCGAAATATTCCAGTAACCTACCTCAGTCTGCACCTGACGCAACAGAACTCGACACCAACAACTCGACACCACACTCTGACACTCAGCAACAACAGGAAATGAAGGCCGGTTTGCCACAGTACCATATCAACGGTGTGGAATTGAGATGGAGTCCAGCCTGCAATATCATCCCCCAATATCCCATACGAATTGTAAGTCTACATTCTCTATTTCAAATTGACAGCTGAGATGTATTCCGAACGGTTTGATAGTAAATTACAGCATCACCTGATCATGTAAAATACCGCGAATGTCTGTAGGATGTGCTTTCAACTCGACGAACCCTACTAACACAAGTGCTAGACGGGACTAAAAGACACGAAAGAGAGCACTGTGGTTGTGAAGGATCAGGTTGGGCTGGACCAGTTGGTCATGCATGTGAAATGGAGGCGGTGTGGGAACCACCTGGAGAAAGACGGTCTTGAACCAGTCGACGTCTTCGATGGTCTGGGTTGTGAGGAAAAACAACGGGGTGTCATATTTGAGGAGTACGTGGGTTGTAAAACGGATGGGGCTTGCGAGGACGAGGACGATGATGAGGAAGTAGATGTAGTTGCGCCCATCTTTGTCCAGGTAGACGTACTCAGTGCCACTGATGCCGCTTTCTACGAAGATGACGAGGATGCCGCGACGGAATTTGACGAAGAGATTGGCGTCCGACCTTGTGTTGGAAGGCAATATGTTTGGCAAGTTTGAAACGGCCACTGGAGGGTCGTCACTATTACCAGTCAGTACATCCTTGAATGAACAATCCAATTTTGATTCTACCAAAATTCTCATCGCCATGCATGTGTCTCTAACCATACTGGCTATGGTAAATCTCTTCAAGTCTGCCTTCGATTGTTGGCCGTCTAATTCGTACACCAAAGCGACGTTATGGCAAGCATCGTCAGATGATCCACTTCCCGCTTCGAAACCATGGTTCGTCCCTTCCGCCTCGCTACAGTCAAGCCTATGAACGAGCAGCAATCGATACTGCCGCGTAGGAGTCACAGGAAAGCCATAATATATATCTGGCAGCAACCTCCCGATTAGATTGTCATCCGATCCTAATCTTCAACTCTCTCTCCAACTGTCTTAACCACCACTACGCTCGCCTTCCAAGCCACTTACACCAACCACACCAAAATGCCTGCACAAATCCAATGCCGGCGTTCAAATCTCCCGAAAACGTGGCATATTGTTACTCTAGCACCGGGCTTCGATGCAAGTCAGCTTGATTTTCCAATCCGCGTTGTAAGTTCTGCTTTCCGTTCCAAACTCGAAGAAGCAGAAGAATGTAGCTAACAAGACATGAATAGGCCACCGATGACAACAGGGACAGGATCCACATTTCCTCACAAGAGGAACTCAACACCCTTCTCGCCAGGCATCGGGATAATGAATTCCAAAAATCCTCTACACTGGCTTCGTCGCCACAACGAAGCGACAGTGTGGTTGGGTCGTTGAGACTGAACCCTCAACTATACCGCACCGACATAGATAGTATCAGTATCATCTATTCCTCCAACTCCTCCGCCTCGTCCGAAACTTCGGCAAGTGAAGAGTATGATACCCGATTATCCGAGCATTTTGTCAATGGAGAAATCGTATGCACAGGTGGCCTTACTCTTGAGGCTCGAGATTTGACGCAGATTGAAAATGAGGCTCGAGATTTGGTGTTTAGCCGTGGACGTTCTGTGAGTATGGCTGTGAGGAGAAGGTACAGGAAGAAGACTACTGGGGTGCAGAAGGTGAAGAAGTTTGTATCCAGTTTCTTCAAACATCTTGGTAGTTTGCGTTACAATGCATAGCAGAGGCGATTTGAGGCCCCCTAACATCAATAATTAGATTCTTTAGACTTGTCTTGGTGGACTATGTTTTGTGTAGTTTTTATGAAGCATTTTCGCTTGGCTATGAAGCATGCCTGAGTAATAGAACTCTTATGTCAATGTGGAGTATTCTCTCGAATCGTAAATCGTGCACATACTCAAAGACTCGACTGTATGCGCTTCGCTGCCTCCCAAAAGACGTAATGCGCCCGTGCGTCTATAGTGAAGATGAACCATAGTCCAGGCATCCAGGGACCCGCTTTCCTCCTACTGTGACTATGTTCGCGACGAAGAAGGACCAGAGTTACGATTTCCATAGAACCATAGTTCTGCCAGGAAATAATGAGAATTCCCTGCTCATTTCGTATATGAACAGCAGTCCTGAGCCCTCTAGACTTTATCTTCATAACGATTTATCCAACGCTCTAACAGCCAACTAAACGTCACTTCAACTACTAAAATGTCAGCATACATCGAAACCGCATGGCCTTGCCAGCAAAACCTCAATATCCGCGAGATCCAAGCAACACCTGTCGCCCTTATCAGGTTCCCTCTGCAGATTGTAAGTAGCCCACGGCCCCTCCCATGTGATGAAAGAACATTCCTGAGCGGTATTCCTTGCTCAAATTCTGTGAAACTTACCAACGTTGCCATAGACTGGGCTGAATTATGAGTCTCCATCGACATGCCCAAACATCGAACTGGTGGAGACCAATACCCACTTTGCATGGCTGGTGGAAAAGTAAGAACTCTTCCTGGCGAGGAAAAGGCTTGCGCGCCTATCTGATACTCCTACAACAGTCGATGTGGAACTACCATGGCATATAAATTCTCTTTGGATGATCGAGTCGAGACCAAGAACCTACGAATGCGGCTATTACGTCGCCCCAGGAATGCCCAAAGCAAGTGACGAATGGCTAGTTCATAAGCCATACGACTCCTTGATAGACACCCATACGGAACGACCACCAGTCGCCTCGACGCCTACATCGCGAACTCTATCGGCTCCTGGGACGCCTGTCAGACCCCCGGACAGACCAGAGACTCGGGTGGTTCGTGCAGGTACGGCACATGGTGTGGCTATGACTGGGCTGGATGCAAGGCGGAGAGCGTAGATGGCATTGGTTGCATTTTGGGCATTTCGAATATACCTTCAACTAGCTGCCATCCAGGTGTACCAGTGAAATACGTATTGCTAGCAGTGTTAGACGGACAGTAATGTGATATCAGTTCATAGTCTCTGTATTTCATCAACTGTTCCAGATCATCCTTGACACATCCAAGCGCTCAAATCATCGGTCGTTCATGGCGCGTCGCCAGGTGGTAGACGGTAGTAAATTGTTCTTTTCCAAGACTCATCTAGAATACACATGCCTACCCCTCACGTCCATCGCCATGCGCTCTCGCTCTATATTTACAAAGTATCCTTGAGGAGCTTGTTCATCTTGGCCATCTTGGCGGCGACAGACTTGTCGATGGTGCGGTCGGCGATCTCGACGATGAGTCCACCGCGGATCTCGGGGTTGACCTTGGGAACGACCTTGAGGGTCTGGCCGTTCTGGACGTATTGCGAGTTCTTGATGGCGTTCTCGAGGCGGGAGATGGTCTTGTTGTCGAGAGGCTGCGTCATGTCAGTTGTAGTTCTAACTTTGTTCCCAAGTCCTCCAACTGTGTTGTTCCATCCCATCTCAGAGTCAACGTACCGCAGCGCTGGTAACGGTAAGCTCAACCTCGCCGCGGTGGGCACCCATGAGCACACCGAACTTCTCTACGACACCCTGTAGTACGCCCAATCGGTTGTTCTCGGCCAGTGTGCTGAGGAAGTTCTTGACGATGCCGTCCTTGTCGGCGCCGCCAATGTGCTTCTGGAGCTCCTGGACAATCTGCTGCTTGTCGGAGACGGAGAGCGAGGGAGCGTGGAGGATCTGGTTGAGCTTGGCGTCCTTTTGGAAAACACCCTGGAGAGCCTGGAGCGACTTCGCGGTGGGGTCGAGGGCGTTGGTCTTCGCGGCCGCGGTGTACTACCACAATTGTTAGCCAAAGCTCTTGCCTAGCCATTGGCCCGCATTCCATCCGCGTATCATCGCCAATGTGCCAATTGAAGTCGTGGAAGGCGTACCAGAGCACTCGCGTAGGTTCCGTCAACGCCGAAGAGGGCAACCGGGGGCTTGTTGGCAGAGCCAGTTGGGGCAGCGGCGGCAGCGTAGCTTCGGGTTGCGGCGTAGCGGGCGGCCATTGGGGCGCGGGGCGCACCAGCCCGGAAAGCGGTGCTGAAGGCACGAGCTGCAGACATGGTCGGTAGAGGGGAGATGGATTGCGGGATGGGGCAGCTTTCGGGGCGCGGGTGCAGTTGAGGATGCTGCGATGAGGTTTCTGAGCCCGGCTCGGCACTGGCTGGGGCTAGCACCGATTGGGCCGCGGGTTGTCTACCCCAACTGCAACTCAATCACCAATCTTTGGGAATTTTCATCTGCATGCAATCACTCGTTACTCGAGTGACGTCCTGATTCTGAGCCATATCACGCGACTCCAAAAGTTCCCCTACCATCTAACTTGGTCGACGTCTCAATCTCAAGCAAAATTTCAAAACTTGGCAAAGCCGAAAGTAATTGATTGATAGTAGGGCCTCTATCATGAAAAGTGTTTGTGGTATGACATTGTGGAGGAAGCTCACGTAGCAAAAGAGATGGACGACAGGCAAAGCTCATGATGATATACGGCCTTGCCCCACCACTACTGAACACCATGCTGATCGGGCGACAACCTCGTTGCGACGACCCCTCCAGGACCGTGTAGATGGGTCTTGGCATATAGTGTCTAAGATGTATACTGCCCACGAGGGACATCACCTATCGGCACAACATCAAGCTCTCTCAGAGAGCGTTGGTTCTCCCTCCTTCACCTCACCATGGGCGTATATTCCGAACACTGCGTCACGAGGAGTATGGAGATACCCCACTTCGAGTCTAGCAGCAGTCCTCCCTCACCTTCACATATCCTTTTTCCTGAGTATTTACTAACCTCCAGTCTACCTTACTCTTCTCCTACTACCTGACAACCCTTTCCGTATAAAGTAAAGAACCATGGCCAGAATGGATACTCCATTTGAGCGACCACAAACACCTCCATGCTCGTATCCCCTTACGCCACCTTCCACCGGCGGCCCGAAGAAACGCGTGCGCTTCAGCGATGTTGAAGACTCCAAAAGCAAGGCAAGACGCGCTAACGCTGTCAGTGAAGGGAAGTCACCTGATGCCTTTTTCGAAGAGCCCGAGGAAGCTTTCAATACCGAGACTAGCAATAGTAGCGATGATGGCGAGAGTACTCCACTAGCAAGCAACACCGTCCCTCTGTCTGCAACTTCGACAGACTTCTCCAAGACCAAGCCCACAGCTCTCGAGAAGCACAACACATTGGCCTCTTTAGCCTTCACTATCGATGCACCTACCACCATGGCTGAGCCTTTCCGCTTCATGGACCTCCCTACGTCCATCCGCAACCAGATCTACGCGCACCTCCTCGTCGTCCCGGGTCTGATATGTGTTCGTCAGAAGCGCACTACGTTTCACAACGAAAAGACAGCATTCCTCTACACCGAGCGCCGCGAGTTTCTCCCCGGTATTGCCTACGCCCTCGTCCACCTCCACGTTGACGAACACAAGACTCGTTTTGCACTTGTCGGCCGCACCAACATCAACATCCTCCGTGTCAGCAAGGAGGTTTTCGCCGAAGCCAAAGCTGTTCTATATGGCAAGAATGCATTCGAGGTCGTCAGGCCCACAAACGAGCTCTGCCCACCGCCTGACTACAGTATTAGGCTATTCCCTACAGGATGTCAGCGTCTTGTTACTCAGCTCAACATCAAGATCCGCTCCTTCTATGACCTCCATTGGCTGCTAAGTGGTGGTTATAACGCCATGAAGAACTACTATCGCGGTCTTGTTTCTCTCAACCTGATTTTGGAGATGGACTCTGCCAGTAAGGGCTTTGGGAAGACTTGGACTAGGATGGGCGTCGAGGAAAAGTGGGAGTGCTATATTCAGCGTCTCCAGGGAGAAGTGGCGAAAGAGCTCTTCAAGAAGATGCAGGTCAAGGGCACAGACACCAAAATTGTTCCGGCTTGGATGAATCTCCGCGTCCTATTCTCGGGTGAGGGATACGATGAGAGAATGGTTGCCGTTGTTGATGTCGGAGACGTGCAGCAGATAAAGCAAGATGAAATGAGACAAGGTTTGACAGAGGCCTGGGAGTTGTTCAAGAAGCGGGGATAATAGGACGAAGGTATTCGAGTTATGGTTGGACTGACAAGGTGTGTACATATCTTGACGTCTGAAAAGACACACAAGTCATACAAGAGTACGCTATCGAGGAACATTTTGGATGGGCAAGCAGGTTTTGGATGATCTTGCAATTATGCCTTTCGGATTGGTTTATTGACAGATACATAGATTAGAAGCATTACGCATTAAAACACTATGCGAACGTTTTGTCCAATTCCAGTTCCAAGTATATCCTTCCAGAGTAGTCCCTTCCCGTATTCCCAAGTCGTTATATATCCCAGTGTCCATTGTTGTCCAAGTACCAAGCGCCGCGCTACATGCATCAAGTCGTGATTAACCCATTTAAACTTTTATCCCATTGCTCACAGTAGTAATGTGAGCCACCCCGCAGCACCAACGATCAAACTCTCAATCCATTTATCCAAACCACCAACGTGCGTAGATACTCCAAGTGCCTTACTAGTCTCTCCAATTCCGCTCGCAATCAAGTCTCCGGCATCGCGGCTTCGCGTCGTAGAAGCTGAACTCGAACGCGTCGTACTGGCGCTGTTGCTCTTCGGTAGCTTGGGAATGGTGCTGGTTTGCCCATTGATGATCAGGGCAGTTCCCTGCGAGTCCAGAGAGTAGGTTGTCCCGTCAATCTCGATTGATGAACCAGGTACGAGTGTTGTTCCGTCGTTCAGAACGTATTCCGTTGTTCCGCCTGTAACGGTATGGGTGTATGTCACACCGTTGATGGTCAAGGCTGGAGCGTCAGTAATGCCAGAGCCGGGTGCTGCCAAAGTGGATGTAACGCCGTTGACGACGATGACGGTACCAGATGCGCTCGTGGGCATAGAGTATGTAGTCCCGGAGATAGTAAGGACGCCACCCGGAGTAAGAGTCTGGTCCGGAGCAATGACATAGGCTGTTGTGCCGCTAACAACTTGCGCAGTAACAGATCTCCCTGCATCAAGAGTCACAACAGATTGTCCCGCCCCCAACACCGACGTCTGCCCGTTAATCAAAATTGTCGAACCTTGTCCATTTTCAGGCATACTGTAGGTCGTGCCGTCAACGATGAGCGTGCTTCCTGCGCTTAGCGTCTGACCAGGTGCTACAACAAAGACTGTTGAGCCTCCCACGACAGTCGCTGAGACAGTTTGGTCGTCCACTGTAACAACGGGCGCTCCAGTTACCACAGGAACATTCGCAATGGTCTGCGTAGCACCATTGACGATGGCCATACCGTTTGGCTCCATGCTGACTGTGTTTCCGTTGATGGTGATGGCAGGGCCTCCTGGCTTCAGTGTCTCAGATCCAAGGATGTACTCTCCTCGTGAATTTGGCGTGACAACACCTCCGCCCACCATAAGAACAGGCAGACCTTGAGTCGTAGCCGGATTGAAAGGAACCGTACTTCCGTCTACAACGATTTGTGTTCCACCGCCATCTGTGGGTACCACCACAGGCACGCCGTTGATAGTCTTCGTCTGCCCTTGTGTCAACGTTTCGGATCCAATTACGATAATCGGAGGAACTGGATTATGATTTTGTCCGTTCTGATCATCCAACTCGGCCTGAGTTGGTTTGGGAGTGTTCACTGGAAAGACAACTCCACCAATCGTCACGCTCCTAGTCGTAGTCGCTCCTGGATTTCCGTTTGTCCAAATGGAAGGGTTATCGTGGTTGACCGTATTCACAACGTCTGGAATACTCGGTGAGGTTTTCCCGCCACCTTGAGTCGGCTTGACCGTGTCGTCTGGTATAGTGTCAGGTTGGCTAGGCGATGGAGCATCGTTGTTATGCTGATTAGGATCGGGTTTGTTTGTGGGAGTGGGATCTGCTATCTTGTTTGACATCGTAGGCTCTGCGACATCCTTTGTTGCTGTATCCTGACACCTTAAACAACCTCGAACCGTGACGTGAACAGACGTGGACTCAAAGCTGGTCGCAATATATGTCCCTGTCAAAGGTGACAGGAAGATGGGAAATGGTGATGGAGGCGGTGCGGCTGGCGGGATGAGTCCTGTAGGTCTAGGACGCAAGAAGGATTCGGGCGGTCTACTAAAGCTACAAGTAGCGATATCTGAGCCGCGGAATTGGCTTTGGATAGCTGGGACTTGCTTTAGATGGTCGATTAGTTTCGAGGGGAGTGGAACAGGTTCGCCCGAGGGTGTGCTTTCAGGAGCCTTCCCTGTGTAAGTAGCAATGAAGTAACTCCATTCTTTGGTTTTTGTGCTTGCGGGCTGCCAACTCGTTAAGGGCTTGACTGTTGGCGAACAAAATCCTTGGGTCAGATTGCTATCCGGCCAGTAAATCTCATGGTAATCATCCAATGCACCAGAGAGCCGGTTGTATATAACGTAAGTTGGACCTGCGTCGAGGTGAACAATTACTCCTGGTGTTGGTTGTACTGTGAACGTCGGTGTCGCGCGTGTGATTAATTGGCCATTAGCTCCGGTAACAGTCTTTGTCTGGTTGACAGTACGCTCTTCTGTAACGACAGTCTCGACAGTGCCGTTGTACATGTAAGTCGAATACTCTGTAACGATGGTCTCGGTTATCACTGTGCTAGTCCATGGGTTGTAAAACTCCCCCGGTACGTAGGATGTGGTTATAGGACCATACCCTGCGATGATACACCCGGTACACGCTCCATTGGGTACCGAAGAATTGGCAAAAACTGACGTGATATCTGAAAGGGGCGGTGCACTTCCAGAGGCAGTGTATGTGACAACCGTAGGTGTCACTTGAGAGATGGAGTTGGTGCGATTTGTGTAGATAGGAACCCAAGGAGGAGTGGGCAGATGTGGAGGAACATTGTGGAAAACCGACGATGTTATGTCCGACGGCGCAGGCAAAGAAGAGCTCACATCGTAAGCTGGACCTGGTATGGCCGCTGGAGTAACAGCAACAGGCGCATGTAAAGTAGTTGAGTCGAGTAGTACCGTGCTACTTAGCGGCGCCGTCACTGATGTGTTATTACCTGAAAACGTCAATTTTGATGGTCTCAAGACGGACTCTGCTGCATACCATCTGTGGATTGTTAGCCACCTGAAACTTGCCCGACAAAAATGACGTACCTCTCCTGTTGTGTATGTTCGTATCTAAGCCCGCCACAACCAGCGCAGGCCCCAGTAGACTGACAAGTCTCCGCATCTTGCAATGATCCTTCTACACCAAGCGAGTGACAGTGTAAAGGTCAAGCAAGATGTCACACATGCAAAAGAGCACTGTAAGAGCGAAAACAGCGAGATTCAGCCCAAAACAGTTCAGATTCCAATCATTCGATGAAGGCTATTCGTACGCATGATCAGCTTGCGATCCATGCACAGCCCTAGTGGTAGCTACGCTTAGCGGAAACACGAGGCGCATACCGTTGACGCGTATGACTGCCAGGGCATCTTCCAGCCCCGGTCTGCCGTGCTGATCAACTGGAAATACCATGTATATCCGCCTAAATTCAAGCTTCGCGCTGACATGGTCCGCAGTGCTCTGGAAAACACCTGCGGCGGTCGACGAAGGTGTACTCAGTACCTAGGTAGTGTCATAGGCGAGGCTTGTTTCACATTCGTGGCGTGAACCGGTATACCCTATATGACCTAAAAGATCTGTCCCGCAAGACCGATCGGATCTCGAGTCGGATTGCTGTAGACTGGAGCAACGAACTACTAGGTTTGCCCTTCAGGGCCAAGTGAAGAGATTGCTAGGCTAGGTCTTAAGGTTCTCGGCGAACACAATTCGAGCTTGTAGGTAATAGTTTTGAATGGAACAAGGCGTGCGCATCTAGCCAACTCAACCAAAATGGGTGAGTGGGCACTGCTGACTACCTGCATGTCTCGAGTGCTATCAAAAGAGAACGTCTGATAGCATGATGGAGGCGTCGAGGTGTGGCCGCTTGGGCCGGGATAGTGTCAAAAGGAGGCTGATACGATGAGCTGGGGAATGGTTCCAAAGGTCCGTCATTGGTGGGGAGGCTGACTAAACCGTGCGCTACCCCTTAGCATGCCACCGGATGCGCCTCTCCCATGAGACCTCGTATTGCGCTCGACGAACCTTGGAAACTAGCCATGCCTTCAATGCTGCAGTCATCGAATCATGCTGCATAGCTTATGGTGGCCTAACGACTAGGGCGTGGGCGATCGTCACGCAGCGCCCGCACCTGTTGTGGTGGGTTCTTGGACAAAACGTCCATGAACCGCTCTGGACTCCAGGGCTTCCGATAGCCCAGGGACCGCACTCCCGGTATCAGAGCTGACTCGACCTGGGGTCCCAAAATCTTCCGATAGACAACTGCGCCATGTGCTACCTGCTTCAGACCGTCTGAGCCGACGATCAATCGCTTGCAGGTCCATGTAGAGACATCGGCCATCCTTCACTACCGTTCGCTCGCTACACAATGCGCCTCACAGCGCGAGCTACCGAGGCCCCGGAGCCGTATGTCGTGCCTCCTTCGGATAAGTTTGATGGCGCGGATGGAAGCTGGAGCACCTTCAAGATAAGCGTTGGAACACCAGGACAAGACTTTCGTGTGTTGCCGAGCACAAAGGGAGGCGTCACATACGTCATTGCCGAAGAAGGATGTCTGGAGGGAGTCGACCCGACGAATTGCCCACAACTCCGAGGAATAGAGGTTTTCCAGAGCACGCAAAGCACCGGCTTCCAGGTCAACGCGTCGACAACATGGTCGGCAATTGGACAATACGATGTGGATTTGGAGGACGCACTCAACTACACAGGAAGAGGACTGTTTGGCCTGGACACTGTCACGCTAGGCGCAGCTGCAGATAGTAGTTCCTCTATATCACTGACGCGCCAGGTCGTTGCTGCCGTTGCTGATCCAGACTACTACTTGGGACTCCTTGGTCTTGGCCAGGCAAAGTCCAGCTTCAACAGTGGGAGCCAGCCCATCGACTCTTTCCTCTACCAGCTGCGCGAGAGCAAAAAGATTCCTAGTTTCGCCTATGCGTACACAGCCGGCGCAACTTACAGATTGAAATCCGTCTTTGGCAACCTGGTTCTGGGAGGTTACGATGCGACGCGATTCGAGCCCAGTGCGAACGACTTCTCTTTTACCTTCTCCCAAGACCCCTCTCGGCTCCTGACTGTAGGAGTGGACTCAATCATGGCGACAAACACACTACAAGGCACCTACTCCCTGACCTCCGGAGCACACTTCTCCGTCATCGACTCTACAGTCCCACACTTGTGGTTACCCGCAGACGTTTGTGCACAGTTCGAGACAGCCTTTGGGTTGACCTACGATCCTGAGACAGATCTGTACCTTGTCAACGATACTATCCACCAACAACTTGTCTCAAACAACCCAACTCTCACGTTCAAGCTTGTAAACTCGCTCGAAGATACAACCACGAACTACACCAACATAGAACTGCCGTATGCAGCCTTCGATCTTCAAGCCTCGTATCCGTACTACCCGAACGCAACGAACTACTTCCCGATTCGCCGCGCCGCCAACGATACACAATACGCACTTGGCAGGACGTTGCTGCAGGAGGCATATCTGATAGTAGACTATGAACGGGCAAACTTCACGGTTGCACAGGCAGTCTTTCCCGATCCTTTGCCCGCATCAAACGTCATCACGATCAGATCACCGAGCGACTCCGATTCCACACAAACTTCAACTTCGTCTTCAGGCCTCGGCGGAGGTGCCATTGCTGGGATTGTTATAGGCGCAATCGCTGCTCTCCTGTTAGCACTGGGCATATTTTTCTTCCGAAAACACCGCAGCAAACAGCAAAAAGAACAGCGATACGAGCTCGCAAGCAAACATATATCAGAAATTGATTCAAGTTCTAATGTTCTTGCGGGCAGCCTGCCTCACAAAGCTGTGGGCCCGCAGGAACTTCATGGCACGCCATTGACAGAACTCGCCTCCCCTGTGAACGACCAGTTCCCTGGCCATGCATATCCACAAGATCAAAAGACAGTCATTGATATGGCAGACGAACCACAAGAGCTGCATGGCGACTCGATAATGCCGGTGACACCCAGATGGCAAGAAGTACCGCCGCATCCACGTTTCCAACAAGAGATGGACATAGAGAGCAGTGCAAGCCACAGTGTGAGCGGTGTGCCCAGCGACGACGGATACGCGACTGGCGAACTTACACTCCGCTCTGGTGTATCGCCAATTTCACCGCAATTTCCTCGCAGCAAACATGGATAAATAGTTTTTAATTTTGGACAGAGTCCGGCAAAGGCGTTTGGGTCTGGCATACTTCTAGAGATACCACACATGTACGAGAAATGGGCAGGATTTAATGCATACGTAACACGAATGCGAGAATATTGATTACTATTTTGCAAAAGGCCTAGGCACGGGACTTGCAGCAGAGATCGACATCTTCTTAATGTATATGGCCCGAGTGAGCTTGGAAATAACAGTGCGAACTTATAAAAGAGCTAGGAGGTTTTCGACGAGATTGCGAGGAATGGGTAAGAATTCTTATCAGAGCCTGGAGATATTCAGTAATCATCTTAAGCACCACTCAGGTCCCAACAGCATTGTGTGCGCGAATAACGACATCTAAACTCATCTCACGAAACGACTTTTGGCTCCGAGTTAGGGCGGTCACAAAGTTCTGACATATTTCTAAGGACGCCGAGGATGGTAATACTGGGTTCTACGAGGCAGAGCACCTGCCAAGAGATACCCGGGTGATCGGCTCGTAGGGCTGACAGATGCGCATCCTTCCAGCAAGGGTTGCGGCACGAAGTCGAATATGTGGCCCGCGGGCTTCATGAGCTTTAATTGGAAAAGTGGGGATGTGAACTACGATGACTTCAATGTGTGTGATGGCCGGTTGCATACGTGGGTCATGCTGTCACGCGAAGAGCTTTCGTGGTGGCCTACAGACTGAAGTATCGCATACCATCATCTTGTATGTGGGTTCTGAACTCCCTGACTACCATATGACTGATTTACTTAATCCGCAGATGAGATAAAAAGATGCAGGTACAACTGTGCTAGAGCCCTAATCATCAGCTGCGCTTTCCTGGGTGCGGGTGCGAGGTACTCCACACGTGAGGTTGAAGCAGGAATCGGATGCAACCCAAACCCGAGCGGGAAGGCCCATTGCAATTCCAAGCCACAAAAAGATGTTCTCTGCACAACTTGGAAATGAATGCAGAATGCGTGGACCGCGCTTGACTAGGTCCACCTCCAACAGGGCAGCTGGGAGATGGACTATGCTGAGGCTATGACGTAGGTGACACGCATGGCTGAAGCTATCACCCCTCATCCCCGCGCGCGCTTCCTCCAACCTGGACAACACCCCAAACACCTAATCTTCTGCTTCGATATTCAGATACGTCAATAATACAGACCTATACCCCAGACACCCTAAACCAACACGTAAAACAAACCACCGACAATGGACAAGATCAAGGAGAAGCTTCACATCGGCAGCAAGAACAAGGCCGAGAACGATGTCACCACCAGCACTGGTAATGTCGGTACCATCGAGGGTAAGTGATAACTCCAAGTGACATACCAAGCATCGCGTCCAGTAGTCGTAGTAAACACACGTTGGTCCGTCGCGAATAGCCTTCCCCCAACAACGCGCCTCGCTATCCTTCAGCCTCACTGAGCCCACCACTAACACCCTCAACAGAGAACCGTGACTCGATCGACTCTGAACTCGCCGCGATGCCCCCTCAAGAGCGCGTCGCCTACCTGAAAGAATTCGAAGACTCAGACAAGCACGACACGCCAAAGAAGGGCGGTCTCCTCGAGAAGCTCATCGCCCGAGGAAACAAGAAGACCGAAGACCAGATTGCCCAAGAGACCAAGGAACGCGAGGCGCGTGAAGCTGCTCACCGCGATGCAACACACGCGACTATGGGCCCCGGCGCCGGTGCCAGCGCACATTCAGCCGCAGGACCCGGTGGATTGTAAGCGCATAACGACGAGTGCAAGGGCATGATGGAATGTGAGCGACCAGCAAAGTTTTAAAGGGGGAAGTACGACACTTCCCAGACATGGATTGTGAAGAACGCTTTCTTAGCGATGGACTGCGATTACATTTACATACACTTTTTCTCGACATGATGAATACATGACATGAATACGAGCTGAGCTTCTTTCTGTATCTTGGACCGTGATGAGATGGAAATGACTTTACAACGCCCTCCTTATCTGGAACTCGATGGCGTGTGCTTCTTCATGGTACACGGGCTCCTCGCTACCTTCTGTGTCGATCTTGCGCATATCGTCATCTTAAGGACGCCTTGTTTCCTACGATGTTGTTCCCACCCTTCGATAGCCAGGGTTGATCTGGTGAGCATGCGGCGAGCAATGGTGTGGATTTCACTGCGGTAGATGTATACCATTCCTGCTGCAAGCAAGAGTCTGGAGATAAAAGTACCGCGTAGGAGGAAGAAACTGGGAGAGAGTTGCATTTCAGCAATGCTACGGCCGGGTAAGGGAGAGAAGGATGATATATGTACACTTGGCGACCGCCTTTGTTGGCGATCTTGAGACTCAAGCCTGCTGTTGTAGTCCCTGATATAGTGTTCACTGCCGTTTTCCATACCTCTACCTCACTCATTTCTATCGTTCAGCTTCGTGTCGGTGAAGGAAGGAAATATCATCTCGAGTAGCATTTGTCTTGCTTAAAAAGTAGGTTGTAAGGTGTTTGTCAAAGGGCCACCAATTTAACCTTGTAAACCTTCATACTGTCAAAGGAGTTGTGGTTCACCAAAGGCATGTCAGTCGTGCCGGATGACACAACAGAAGACTGCAAGTGCATTCGAATCGATGGTATTACTGTGAACCTCGGACCTTATGTCATGGGGTCCGCATTTGCTCCAGTAATGAGCTGGTATACTACAAGTCACTCTCTAACGTCCCTTTTTTCCCTAGATCCTTCACGAAACATCCATGATCATGTACAGAAGAGAACTTCGCCTCTAGAGAGGTCACCAGCTGTGTAACAACCTAGGTAACAAGAGCTGGAAGAGCAGTGCGGCAACCCGCCGTTGCTGCATCGCATTCCAAAATTGAGCTGATAGAAATGGCTGCCATTTGTATGGCCAACTTCACACCGGAAGTCCTTGCTCGTCAGGTGCTTCAGGTGCTCCACTTACAGCCCCATATACCCGGATTGGTACCTGAACTTCAAAGCTCTCAGCCGGTAATCGCTGGGCCGCCGCTAATATGACACCTCGATCGTCGCTGGATATCTCTTCCAAGAGATTGTCTTGTGTCGTCTCCTCTCCATCCTCATGCATTACTCGCGGAGTGATGAACTCGATCCTTAGCTTCCACTCCAGGCTGACTCCACTGGTGATGAACTCCGGTGTGGCATTGGGTGGTATTGTAGGTGAAAAGGCTAGCTTTTGCGCAAACAGCGCGTTTTCTGAAAAGGATGCGTGCACTTTCTTCGTAACACGGTATATCGAAGCATTCGAGCGAAGTGCTATCGCCGGGTCGACCTTCTCAGAGGTTTCCAGTGAAATATGTATAGAATAGCAGGGAATGCGCGAGTCTGTAAAGTCGATCACCGCAGTCATTGTTTCGCCTAGTCGGTAAGAGGGTCGCGCCAACATGATGACCGCAACACGGCGGCCGCTGCGGGCGATCTCAAAGCGGTTGGCGCTCTGATTCGCAGCACCCGTCAAGTTGCTGCGCAAAATGGCTGTGTCGATGGCCTCCTTCATAGTTTGGGGTTCTTCGGCGATCGATGACCGCCCAGGCATGGTACCTGTAGGTGAGAGCAAGCCCATGCTAGAATTGTGTCTAGGTCGATCTAGCAGGTTGTTCACGTACTCCAGGAAGTCGCCAAAGGTGTTTTCTTCTGCTTTGCCCGAAGGGCCTTTCTTAGTCGGAGAAAGCTTCGCACCTGAAGAGGGCTCTATGCTGGCTGTTCGAGCTTGATCGCGCAATATAATGTACGGAGACATGAGATCATGTCCAAGTATCTCGCCACGGCCTGGTCGGAGTTAGCATGTCAATGCATCCATACTTGAGCAAACATACTGTTCACGCTGCCAAAAACCCTGAACGGAATGTCCACATGCTTCACTTGCTGTTCTTTGGTCGAGCCTGCGCGTTGCGTGCCAATGATGAGATTGTATGCTACCTTCATCGACCGCCCCTTGTGTGAAGGTGGGAGACCTCGGGGTATTGTAAAGCTGTACGTGTAACTGCGGCTCTCGCCAGGCGCAAGCCTCAAATCGACGAACAGAATGGACTGGGGTGTAGTGATGAGCGGAACGGTTTTGGAGCTGGCAACACCCCTCATCTCCCGGATACTAGAGGGTTCTGATGCGCCCAGTAGCCCGCCCAGCGACTCTCCTATGTTGCCCCAGCCTAGCGCGCCAAAGAGCCCGCTCTCGCGCTTTGTCTTCTCTACTCCCACGACGCCGCCTCCACCCTGGCCACCTACTACTCCCTTCCTTTTGACCTCTTCGAAAGGTGCCTGGTTGATCAAGGATCCATCCAGCGTGAAGGAACCCATTATTTGTGCATAGCCCATCATTATCGACTCAGGGAGAGCCTGTCTATTGGGCGGTGCCAAATGCGATAGTCGTCGGTGGTGCATCGGACGCTGTAGCAGACGCGCGGAGGGATGAGCTGCATATTCCGAGGCTAGTGTTTCGTTGGAGTTGTTGCTCATCGAGTAGAACTCTCCACTGCTACGAGGAGTGTCATTGAGGCTCGACGCAGATATTATCCGTGCAACGGGCGAAAGCACTTCGAGATTGGAGCTTCCTGATATCCGTAGATGGTCATATGGCGGTTGTGGGGAGTTGCGCCGGACGTGTATGGGTTGCTTTGTAGGGCTGCTACTAGGCTGCGGTTGTGTGGCATCTTCAGGCGGAGGGGCGGCTGGGAACTTGAAGTTTGATGAGAAGGAATTGGAAGGTTTCCGTCCTGTGGTAGGAAGAGCTGGGGTACTCGGTGTGGTCGTAACACCAGGCCGTCTCCTGTTCTGACGCGCAGGAAAGGCAAAGTCGCCAGGGCTGTGGACTGTCGGCGATGACGCTTCGCCGGATAATGGAGAGGGATGTGTAGCTGATCGATGACCTGGTGAAGCAACTGCTACCATGTCAGCCAGAAGCATATATCGCGTGTGTCCTTCATACTTGGATACGAGTTTGGCCTGCCGGGCACGACTTGCAGACTTGCAGATCTTCCATGCCCTCTTGCTGGGCGTCTAATGGGTATGCCTCTCTCATGGCTGACTTCGGTTCCAGCATCTGTCCCTAAGGACACGATTGACACGGATCTTCCATGTTTCGGCGTTCCTGTGTTGTTCCCGTGTATGACGCTCGGCGGAACAGGCGATCGGCGTCCCCCAGCTGTTGACGGCGTGTGTAATGATAGTGCAGGGCGGTGTCCACGAAGATGTGAGGGCGGTAACTGCGAGGCAAAGGACGAATTGCGGGATACCGAGGGCCTCGTCGACGAGTGAACTGGCGGTAGTTTGCGCTGTCGCTCCCCGCCTGTCGCGAAGCCATTCTGCCTCCGGACCGGGGAGCGATCGCGTCCTTCAGGCGAGGCTACATTCTTGAAGGTAATAGTGCATTCTATGTCTTCGCCGGCGAACACGGTAGAGTCCTTCCATTGTACAAATACCCGGATGTTCGACGCGGACATGGTAGGAAGGCTAAGCGGCGCGGGCTGCGGGTTCGTAAGCAGCTCATCTGGTACGGCGATCAATCGGCATGGCGACTGCTAGAAATTGAACCCCGAGACGACAAAAACAGCAACAGACACCAGTTGAGGGTTGGTAACGATGGCGGATCTCGACTGACAGCTGCGCCGTCATGACAGGGATGTCCAGGGTCTAGGTACGCGGTCTGTGCTTCTTCCCCGGTCCGCCTACCAGCTCTTCCTCGCGGATGTGACCAACTCCAAGCGCAACCCAACCAAAATACACTTCCACATTTGGATCTAAGCTTCGACCGTGTTACAATGACAAGTGATTCATCTCTCCCGATACCTGTGGCAGAGCAACCAGATCAGCCTCCAAGTACACCTACGTGTCTAAGTCAGCCTTGTGAAGGCTGTTTAATCCAGAATGTGGAAAGAATGTAGTATGACGATTGGTTCATACCAGACGCAGGCGTTCAGCTGCGCACCAGGCTGTGCCAACAGTCGACTACAGTCTGCTTACCCCACGACAATCTAAAGCTCGCAGCCTTTTCTCCATAACTGGCGTCTAGCATTTCCCGATTACCATTCCAACAGAAGCGGAGCGACAATAACTCAAAACTCTCATGCACCATGCTCGATCCTCTGATAGCGCTTGGGGCTGTCGCTAATGTCACTCAGTTTGTCGAACTTGCTATCAGAATATTCGCAAAGAGTCATGCCATCTACAACTCAGCTAACGGTAGTCTTGTTGAACACGACGACCTAGGCAAAGTCTCTGAAGATATTTCATCGCTCTCAAGGAAGTTACAAGAATCGCTGACCACAACCGCTGCGAGTAGTAGCCTCACCACAGACGAGCAAGCGCTTTGTGATCTGTGCAAGGGATGTATAGATGTATCGCAAGAGCTTAAAAAGGCTCTTGAGAAACTCACAGGTCAAGGCAAGCCTGGAAGATTTCGCAGTTTCCGACAAGCTTTGAAGAGTGTGTGGAGTAAGGATGATATCGATAACCTGGAACGAAGAGTAAAGATGTACAAAGAAGATTTGAATATTCGCATAATCGTGGGTTTACGGTTCGTCTCACGCCTATTATCACCAGACAGGTCTAACTCTGGGCGACAGGAGCAAGATCGATGTCGTAGCACTTCAGCAATCAGAAGGTTATGCTTCACTTGCCGACGAAACAAAGTCCGTAGTTCAATCACTAGCTCACATCGACGACGGGATACAGAATGGATTCGAGCGACAACATGCCATTCTAGATACACTTCACTCGCGCACAGAGACGACTATAATAGCTCATGCTAAACAAGACAAAGAAGAACACGAGAAACTATCTTCTCAGATAATCGAGCTTTCACAACAATCCGGTGATCAGTTTGATCGAGCTTTAGGTGCACAGATCGTCACTAGGACCGCGATCGAGACGTCGATTAATCAGAATATCGCAGAGCACAATAAAACTCGAGAAGAAATGAACCGTCTCAAAGAACAAGCGGAAAGACAGATTGAGGTTCTCACTGAAGAGATTCGACAGCTCAAGATTGAGCTTGAAGCTAGTGTCAAAACCATCGTTGCCAGCCTCGGAACAGCTTCAAAGAAAGAAGAGCAGAAGCTCAAGGATATCAGCAATGCTAAATTCAACCTCTGGGTTGCAAAGGAACTCATATTAGAGAAATTGAAGGTTAGTCTACTACAAGGTATTTAGTGTATGTTTAACCAGATACTAGGCTTTTGTCGCAATGTTCCGTTTCAGTTTTGCAACGGAGATATGGACCAGTACAACGGACATCATGTCTTGGAAGCTCATGCCTTACCCGAAACCGTCCGAAGAGTCTCCTGCCGGAACTATGTTTGCTTCAAGTGGTACATCAGGGATTGGTGAAGAATCGATGGCATATGTTCACGTGGACCTCAACTATCCCATTGCGGCAATAAACGTCCCCATGGTCAAGATGTGCCTTGATATAGGCGCGGATGTGAACGCCAAACTTTATGGTGGTGAGACGCCTCTAGAGGCGGCGGTAGCTGTTGCTTGCGACATCAAATACGTCCGTTTGCCTCTGGCGCGTCGCGATACGAGACAAATCATTCAAATGCTACTTGATCACGGAGCGGAAAAAAGCCCGGAGGCACGGCGGTTGGCAAGAAATTCACACGGAACTGATTGGTTGATCGAACAACTTCTGGCTCCTTCCCCTCATCCCAAAACATGTCACTTCATCTCCATGACAGATGCAGTGTTGTCAGGAGATCAGAAGAAGCTAGAAGACATACTCACGCAAGAGCCGGAGCTTTTGCATTTGTCAGAGTCTTATGGCGTCTCACCGCTCAGGATAGCTGTTTACCAAAATGATGAACTCATGGTAGATAAGCTTCTCCACGAAGGAGCTTCGCCGAACACACTTGACCCTGTGGGATCATCACTACTAGCTACCGCTGTCAAGCGGAGTCGGGGAGCTATTGTCGGATCACTTCTGTGGTACGGTGCAAGCATCACACTCGAAGACCCTGACCTGAAGGGCACTCCTCTCGAATATGCTGCAAGAAATGGAGACGATACCATGTGCCACACTTTGATTAAGGGTCTCAAAGTCCAAAGCCTTTCGGAGAAGAGGCGACTACTTTTGGAACCATTTGCTCTAGCAATAGTAGGAGTTAGGACCAGTGTAATCAGGGTACTTCTCGAACATGGCGCAGATGTATTCATGGACATGCGGCCATTTCTACGTCTCGAGGTAGCCTACTCTCCCAAAGGATGGAAATTCAATCCCGATGATCAAGACTGGGAAACAACTTTAACCCCTCGGATATTCCTGGAAAGCAACCACGATATTCTCCAAGAATACGCCAGCTATGAAAGTTTGCTTGTAGTTTTGAAGAAATATGAGGATCGAACGACTGAAGAAACACCCCAGAGAAGTGGCCTGCTGTCCTATGAGAAATTCCAGTCGGAGGACCTTATTTCATTCGAATGACAGATTCCTACCGAGTTAAAGCATCACAAGAGGGGTCCTGGTCACTGGCTCTATCAATGCAAGTACGCTTAACGCAAGGAAAGTTTTCTTTCCAATCTATGCTCGCGAATCCGTTCTTCTTTCATCCTGGCAAACGTTTTCTTATCTTTTGTATGGTAGTAATTTGTGCACTTACAAGGGTCAATGATCATTTCAACCACGTTAGACGACACCGAAAAAGCCGGGTAGTCAGCACTCATCCATTGGCGTCACGACGCTAGTTGAGCGCAACAAAGCGAACGCGGCACAGCATACTGCACAATCGAGCTTTCACTGAAACTGCCTTTGTTCTTTCTAACATAAATTCGTTTTGCGGACTGGTTTTGCGCACCCTGAATCATCTTCATATACTGGAAATGCCGATCGAAACGCTGATTAGCTTTGCCCCGCATACGCTCGCTGTAGTCTCTGACTTCAACGATAACATGCAAATCAATTGTTCGAAGGATACCGGTAATCAAAGACAGGAAAGAACTCTTCCTTGATTTGACGTGGAGAAACGAAGCGGAACATGGGGTTTGAAGAGCCAGCCTTATCGTTTGTACCACTTGCGCGACTTCCACCGAAGCTCTGTTGACCGATGAGCGCGGCGGTAGTCTTGCAGTCTGATGACTCGTTAGCGACTACGGCAAGTAATAATTCGTTGAGCACTTACTGATGTAGAAGTTTCCAGCAGAATAGCGGAGGGCATCTTCCGCCTCTCGTATGGCAGTACGGGAGTTGGCAAAAACGGCACCTGTTAGTGCGAAATTACCACCAGCTTGGTCAATTTTCTCCAGAATCTGACTCCACTCCGCATCCGGATAGACATGTATGGCGAGTACAGGGCCAAAGATCTCATAGTTGAAGAGCTTGTGGTCTGGCGAATCTGCGAGGTAGACGGTTGGCTTGACGTAGAAGCCTTCAGAATCATCGTAGGTACCGCCGACTAGAAGCTTGAGTGAAGAGTCCTGATTGCTCTCGTCGATGACAACCTTGATCTTTTCGAACGATCGACGGTGGATTACCGGGCCCATAAAGGCTGCGAGATCCTCATGTGGGTTACCTTGGGTAATACCCTTCACGTCTTCGACCAGGGTATCGATGAATTCCTTTGATCGCGACTCTGGAAGATACAGACGAGAGGTTGCCGAGCACTTTTGACCCTGATACTCAAACGAAGCACGAACAACGTGCTTCACTGCAGATTGGACATCCGCTGTGGGATGAAGGAGAGTAAAGTTCTTGCCACTAGTCTCTCCGACGATTCGCGGAAATTCGCGGTATGTGCTGTTACCAATACCCTGACCAATGCGAGCACAGAGAGATCTGAAGACATCTGAGGAGCCAACGAAGTTGAGCCCAGCGAAGTCTCTGTGGTTGAGCACGACATCGTTAATCTCCTCAGGCTCACCAGGTACGAACTGAATAACATCCGGTGGTAGACCAGCTTCAAGAAGGATCTTGTAGACGATGGTGCTTGCGTAGATGTTTGAAGGTGACGGCTTCCAGAGTACCACGTTACCCATGATAGCAGGGCCGGAGATGAGGTTACCGCCGATAGCAGTAAAGTTGAACGGTGAAACGGCGTAGACGAACCCTTCTACTGGGCGGTAGTCCATACGAGACCACATTCCGTCTGTGCCTCGCTCGGGTTGTTTCTCAAGAATTTCCGTGGCGTAGTTGCAGTTCAGTCGGAAGAAGTCTGCCAACTCAGCAGCAGCATCTACTTCGCCTTGCCAGATGTTCTTGCCTTGGCCAAGCATGGTTGCAGCAATCAGTTCATAGCGGTATTTAGTTGCTACCAGCTCGGCCGCTTTGAGGAAGATTGCCGCTCGATCAACGAAAGGTGTATTTTCCCATGATTTCTTTGCTTTGAGGGCGGAATCGATAGCTTTCGATACTTGTTCTTTGGTTGTAAGTGGATAGCTGGTGAAGGTCGTCTTGTGGTCCGCTGGTAATGGCTGATCCCAAGAGCTGTGAACTTGCTGTGATTTGCCATTGAAATGAATCTCACTTTGCATAGGAATCTGCGACTTCATGCGCTTCAAAGTCTCCTCCAGCTTCGTTCGCTCTGGAGAACCTCTCTCGTATGTGGGGTTTGGCTCGTTACGGGCATCAGGTAACCGAAACGGTACCGTCGCTTTTGTGCGAAGTTGACAAGGAAGCAACGCGCATCTTGACGTACTTATCAGAGGTCGCTTTCTAGTATGTGAAAGTCGTACTAGAGATCGTATATTCGACATTCTGAGAGAAGGTAGCGGGGTAGGGAGGGGTGCGAGTAGGTGATGCACATAGGCACTCCGTTGCTGAACCACGCTTTCTATATCGATCACTCTGCGAGAGTCAATAGCCGCAACGCGACCCGATCATCACTCGTGACGCATAGCGACATCGCTGCATCTCCCATGCCCGCGAATACCCGTCGTCTACATATGTTATGGTGGTTTTTGGTTGGCCGATAAGCTTACCACGCCGGACCTAACTTCGCATGAGCTCAGAAGTTGATCGGGAGGCCTCCCGATGCATAACCACACCCGTGGCAGTCCGAGTGGAGAACGAACACCAGAGCAGATGACAATGACCCGGGAAAGGCTCTGAACACGGTCGTCCTTCTTGTGATCATCAGTTAGGATTACTATACATTCTGTAGAATATGCTTTGCGTTTCCCAGAATAATTTTTGCTGCTGCGCATTCTTGGTTTTCGAGCTCATTCAGTGCGCTGGGGGATTTCGTCCTAGGAATGTCACTTCTCATGCCTTGACTACAGTGCTCTTCTAAAGACAATTGTCATCTCAAGCAAGTCAGTTTCGCAGTATTCTCCTTGGCCTGAATCAGTGTTCAGGACACCTGATGACGAGTGGTCCTGCAAGAGGGACGGAAGCGCATCCGTCGCACGTCTCCGTGCGCGATACGCTAAGCCAGCCTCTCAGCCCGATAACCTAGGGGAACCGAGCAAGGCACCCCAACCTCCAGATGCAATTTCAGAGTTTGACTGAGCACTAGAAATATTATGTCACAGTCAGACAAAGATGGAGAAATAATGCTTAGCGTTTATACTGTCTTCTGCGGCTTCGATGTGGAGCAGAGATGGCAGCCATGTGCGAAGGAAGACCAAATTGGTGCGATGACCTCAGATCTCCATTGGCCCCCGCACATAGCGGTATCTATCCTAACTCAGCCCTCGACATCCCTGGCTCACAAGCGTGGGGTTTCTGCATGCGCGCTGGCGCGTCTTCCGCGTTGTTGATATCGATCGAGCACAGCACTCGGCCAGAATTGCTTCACCATTCTTCCCAGGTTGCGAGGTTCTCATGAGTGAGCCTCGGCAGACGCGATGACAACCTCCAACGATCATCGTAAAGTGACAAAACGATCCTCAAACGCGTACGCAACTCGCATTGTGCTGGAAAAGTGCACTAACAACAACTACGAACAGTTGCTCGCGATGCAGGAGGCAAAAGATTAAATGTTCAGGGCAGCAGCCGTGCTCAAGCTGTGGCAGACGAAACCTTACTTGCATCTTCGATGACCGAGAAAACAAAGTTCTAGTAACACAAGGGTAGTTTGACATGTTCCAATCGTGGGAGAAGAAGTTGATGCGGATGCTGATGCTACTTAGATATCTCTCTGACCTCCGCGCAAAGGTAGCCCGGTTAGAGCAAAACCAAGGCAATGCGTCAATAGCATCTCGGGTGCAAACGACGGCAGATGATGCAACGGCGCAGGAAGAGGATATAGACGCACTAGAACCGGACCATGACCGACAGCAAGTCAATCCATTTAGCATCGGGGGTACGAGAGACAATTCGCCTGGGCATAGACCTGAGCCTGACGAATCGAACTTAATCAACCCACTTATTGAGTCCTTCAAATTCTGGTCGTCTTCTGGACGAACTTGTAAGCTTGCCAGCCGCCGTTGATGAGTTTCGATTGATCTTGTTCGCAGTCTATCTTGGTACCTCCTCAAACTGGTCATTCCATGGACAGATACTCAATTTAGTGCATGAGCACACTCGAAAATCACCTCTTCCAAGTGCCGACTTGTTGTTTGATGGCTCAGCATATGATCTGCCCTGGGATGGTACTCGCAGCCTTCCAGATTCCACTTCTCCGGTTATTCCCAGTATCGACTACGCCATTTTCCTGATCAATGCTGTGAAATTCCATTGCGCTCAGCTTGTACATCTTTTCGACGAGGATGAATTCATGGCGAACATGCACGCGTTCTATTCGAATTCTGAGACCGGTGCATGGAAAGAGAGTATGTGGTACATACATTTCCTTATAATATTGGCTTTTGGAAAGACATTTATCCAAGCAAAAGGAAATGCACCACGGCCACCAGGTGCGGACTTCTTTGTACAAGCCCTTCAGCTACTCCCAGATACCAACCGGTTATGCCGCGAGCCTGTGACGGCGGTCGAAATACTTTGCTGTATAGCGCTGTACTTGCAAGCCTTGGATTCAAGAAATGCAGCGCACGTAACAGTATGCAACCATCCCCATGTTTACACATTAGCTGACGTTGGTTAGATCGGTCAAGCTATGCGCATCTCAATGATCCAAGGGATGCATACAGATATGCCAGTTGAAAACTTGGGCGAACCTCTTGTCCAGCGATGCCGCCGAATTTGGTGGACAGTTTACATCCTCGATCGCCAAATGACGTCTTTGATGGGGCTGCCTCAATCAATCCAAGACGACGATATATCCTGCCAGCCCCCAGACTTCGTAGGCTCCGCTCAGCGAGCTGCAGCGTTGAATATGCAAATCAGACTTGCACGTATACATGCTGAGATAGCTAAAAGTACGTGATGTAACCTCTCGTAAAAGCGATGACTGACTTGGATGCCTAGCTGTGTATGGCTCGAAAGGTCGCCTGCGCAAGAAGTTTGTCCTAAGCATCAAGGCTGTTTTGGACGATCTTGGGTCATTGGCGGAAGAGCTCCGACAATCATTTCCTCTACATGCTGACGAACGCTTCGGAGGCATCTCGAGGATGCCGGCACATCTACATTTGTCGTATTACCAGGCAAGACCCAAGCCTTGTAGAACGCAGAACCAGTCTGACAAATATTTAGACCATTGTTGTTGTGACGAGGCCATTGCTTTTCTGCTGCTTGAAGAAAGTCTTTGAGTCACCAAAAGAAGTGCGACCGTTGGTCTCATCACGCAAAATACGGCATCTACTGCACATATCACTTGAAGCCTCACAGAAAATCTTGAATATTCTAGAAAGCCTGCAAGATCAAGGATTACTTGGTACGAGAGTCTAGCCATATAGACTTCTCCCGTACTGACTACATTACAGAGACGTTCCTCCCATGGGATCTTGACGCACTCTTTGTATCGACTATGGTCCTCATCCTAACCCGTTTTGTTGACTTCAGCTTGATGGACAACCAAACAGGTCATTTGGATAAAGCTTACGGCTTTATGAAAACTATAGTATCTAGTGGCAACCGAATCGCGGCATTTAGAAACGTGGAGCTCCACAAACTTGAAGAAATGTTAGCGGAGTACTTCGAGAACAGGGAACAGCCACCCACTGCGTCACCAAACACGATCGGCTCGGGCCCAAGCATGCAACACCCACTCTCCTTTCCTGAAGGATATCAATCTACAGCTGGGTTACTGAATTCAGAGGACACACTGCCACCTCCCTATACAGGGGTAAGTGATGAGGGGAGTGGATTTGGTGATGATTTGACGGCTGAGCAGATTCTGGCTGTGGCTGAGTCTATGGATATTGAGGGAACGGATTGGCTATCGTTCGCGACTTTAGACAACTACCAGATCCTTGATTCGAGTATACAATGAAATGTAACAAGAGTGATACAAGGCTTGTTGAGCAGGTTATACGCGAGAAACTCTACAATTTGGACTTGGCCGCTTCTTCTTGTACTTCGAGGATCTCTCTAACATCTCCTACCCTCCAGCTCACATCATCATCAAAGCTCTCTCCCTGCGCCTTCTGCTTTGGTATTCTCCAACGCCATCTTGAGATGCTTTGTGTCCTGTCGGGCGAGTTTAGTAAGCTGTGCACCCACCTTCCGACTATCGGGAACATTTTGAAACCATGGCCAGAGTCGCCTGAGAGCAACATGACCGAAGAGCAGGTCTCGGGTACGTAGTCGACGATGAAATCAGAGTCCGCCGTATCCGCAAACCAACATATAAACTTCTTTACCAGCGGTCGATCGGCAAGATAGGGCAGCGTTTGGCGAAGCAGCTCGCGCATCTTCCTTTCGTCTTCTTTGGGCACAAAGCGCATAAGTCCTTCAGGCGCTTCAGAAACTCCAGTGGTAGGATTGGTATTGATATAGCCACCACCCATTGGACACAGCTTTAGGAGGTTCGTCTTTGGGTCTGGTTCGAAGAAGAAGCCGAGATCACGAGCGTATGTAACGGGGATGCCGCGCAGTGCTGCGGTTTCGTCATCAGTGAGGCGGACGTGTGCAACAGACCAAGATTTGGCAGACACTTCGGTACCAAGTTCGGGGACAATCTTATGTGCTGCAGCGCCAACGGTAACGATGACTAGCTTCGCAGGGTGAAATCGGCCGGCTTTGGTTTGAATACCGATACTCTTCCTGCTCTTTCCTGAGCCTTCGTAGACGATCTTCTCTATTGCACCAGCTTTCTCTCCCAAGAAAAACCTGACACCAGCCTTCACTGCTTCGCGATATATCCCCCTCAACGCGTTGGCGGAATGTACGTAGCCGTTGTATTTGCAGAAGTACCCTTTCCAACCAGGCATCTCTCCAGTGAACTGCCATGCCCCAGCTATATTGCGTACTTGTTCAGCTCCTGAGATAGAATGGAGGAAAGGCTTCATCTCCGGATGTTTATCAGCAGCTGCTTGGAACTTGCGCATTGTGTCCACTGCTTTCTGTGGTGCGGCACCTGAAACGCAGTTCAAAAAGCCGACACGGTGGAAGTAAGGCGCATATAGAGGAGTTTGCCAGGCGTGGGTCGCTTCCTTTTGGTTCGTCAGTTATTGGCACACCATCCTCTCACGGCAACGCTTGGGTCATCCAGGAAACTTACGACCGCCAAGTTTGTATAGAAGTCATCTTCGTATTCCGCTCGCATGATCTTGTTCAGATCATTCGCAGCGGACCATCGTGACGGAATCTCCTCGTCTTTCTCGAAGACCGTGATGTTTGTGTAGCCTTTAGTTGAGAGCTCGAGAGCTGTGGAGAGACCGAATGCTCCACCGCCAACGATGGCTATGGGATCGCTTTTTGAGACGTTCATGGTAATAAGACAATAAGAGAATCAAGGTTTGGCTGCAAATACAGAGACCTCAGAGGGTTATGTTACATGTTCTGCATACGCTTGTCTACTCATGCGACGCGTATGCCAAGTCTGATCATCAGACGGAACTATCGGCAGAGGCCCCATCATACTGTCAATACGGGGACGAGACCGTTACTGCACGTATTGTCAAACCCCGCAGATGTTGTGAGCGTTATCGTCCTGTCGTGATCCCAGCCCCCTGATCTTAATGAACGCTAGTGTTATCGATAAGATCGACCCGCATAACGCGTCGCGCTTTCCTGCACGATCGGATGGCCTCCCGACATGACACAACAGCAAAACTACGTAGGTATCCGACCGTACATTTTTCCCTTTTATGGACGATGACGAGAGTCTATCCGTTGGCTTCGCGGTGTGCGAAGACAACCGTAATGTTCAGTCCGACCGATGTCGCCCGGTCACGCTTACATGGCCTAGAGAGATCTAGTTGTCGGATGCATTGCGAGACGACAGCGACTAGACGACAAGACCTTGGGGCCTAATGCTATGGGTACTGATCTAAATATTGTCGAATCAACTTGGTGTACGGATGCGTAAATTGGTACATATGGGTCCTATGCGTTTGCGCGTGTAGTGAGCATCACGCAAGGCGAACGACTCACACAACACTACACAATGTCGCAGCAGCTTATGCAGAGTGAGAAGAATACCTGGGGGAAAGGACAGGTACTGGCAGCTGTTTTGGCTGGAGACGTCGCCGCTGCGACCATTTCCGCAACAGTGATCAGTCCTATCTTAACAGTCATTGACCGGTAAGTCGTGATTCATGTTCTGAACTTCATCTTTTAACAGTACTCCAGTTCCGTAGTTGAGAATGCCGCCCCAGCTAATCAGCATCTGCTATCTACCCTGAGAACCAACATCCTCAACTCAGTCCGACGGCCACGGCTACTCTTCGCAACAAAGCCTTTCCTCTACATGTGGACGCTCTATGCAGCCACATATACCACCGCCAACACAGTTGAGAGCATAGGCACCGCAATTACAGCGGGAGCGGATCGAATACTCATCAGTTCTATCACGTTCATTTCAACGTGTCTTGTCAACGTACCTCTAGGAGTATGGAAAGATGTACGCTTCGTCCAAACATATGGTAGATCCGTAGAGCAAGTTAAGTTCAGCAAGATGGTGGGAAACACGAGACCAGTGGCTTCACCTACACGGTCCACCTACCCAGCGCGAGCAACTAGTTCTTCACGAACCGTCGCCGCAACTTTTCTCTTCCGCGACGCCATCACCATATTCGGATCCATCAGTCTACCGCCAATGCTGAGTTCAGCTGTATCAGCACCAGATCCTCTTATTCCAGATCCTTCGACTAAGAACGCCGCAATACAAATCTTTACGCCAGTTCTCTCCCAGGTAGTGGCAACTCCTCTACATCTACTGGGCTTGGACTTCTACACCAGCCCAGAAGGCAGCAATGCGGAGCGGACGCAGAGAATAAAAAGCGCCTTGTTACCAACGACGGCGATAAGATGTGCAAGAATCATTCCAGCTTTTGGAATCGGTATGGTGATGAACACTTGGCTGAGGGATTGCTTTCATGAGCAGGTAAGAAGTAGCGACTCTCCTTAATCAAGTTGGAATATGCGTTCTTGATGGATAAGGTAATCCCACTGCGTCATCCTGGTTTCGATTGTGAAAAACCTCTCGATAGTCTCGATGGCAGACCAATCTGGCAGCGAATCGCCAAGATGTTGGGGCTTTGCGGTACTGTATTGTCTATACTATTCATTCTGCCTCGAACGAAGTATGAACGGCCCGCTCGGCCCTCTCAATGTTCAAGTGTGCTTTGCGTAAAGATGAGGTCCGCTATAAGGCCGATATCGTCACCTGCATAACCCGATCCAAGCCGCATCATCAATCGACCCCGCTTTAGCCAACCTGCAGAAGCATTACGCTTTCGCTCATTTGTATCATTGGCCTTGAAATGCTTATCACTTCGCCTCTTACATTCTGCCAATAGTGTACCAACCATATCCGGGCTTCCCACGCGATCCGGCTGCACGTCCGAGTGACGGTCATTGACGCGATAGTCACGAGTATAGCAATGCCCCACGTTCGAGACGTCGAGCGGGGTCATGCACTAGGTAATACATAGATTGAGATAAGAGTACGTGATGAAGAGGCGGAATTGAAGAAACGCTCTACACTTATCAGATGAGTACCTTGTAGTACTATTCTGTCTCTGCTCGACTCTCTCGTCTCAACATCACACACTGAAGTCATGATGCTACAGCAACGGCTCACTAGGTCAACGCTTCGTTGTGCAACCAGCAGGAAAGGCCTCGTTAATGGCTTCAACACATTCGAGGTCCGGTTCAATTCTACGACCGCGCTTCCACGGATCAAAACACCGACCGTACAGACGCCCCAACAATCGCTTGCACAACATCCGCTATCAGCGATGCCAACACACATGTTGCTGCGGTCACTTTTCATTGCCACAGTATCATCTAACAAGTTTCTCTTAATACCATCACTGAAGCTTTTATCTTTCTTTGCCAAACCAAACCGAAGCCTCCTCTTCAATGTGGACCGAAATCCCGCTTTGAAAGCTCTTCTAAAGAGAACGCTATACAACCAATTTTGCGCAGGAGAAACAGAACAAGAGACACGAGCGTGTGTGAAGCAGCTGAAAGATCTGGGGTTCAAAGGAGTGATATTGACGTACGCGAAGGAAATGGTATTTGATCACAAGAATGAATCTGCAAATCATCATACCTCAGACAAGTTCGTTGATGCAAAGGCTGTCGCAGCACATGATACGGATATCGAGGCGTGGAGGGCGGGCACGTTGAGAACTCTTGATCTCATCTCGGAGGGAGATATCCTGGCTCTAAAGTATGTGTCACAGCAAGAAAGGATCAAAGGAAGAAAATACATCATTACTGACACTACTGCAGAACAACGGGAGGTGGCCCCGCAGTCTCAATGGCATTCAGCAGAGGCGAACTGCCACCCCAACAGATGCTTGACGCCCTAGACGAGATTGCAACTAAGTGCAAAGAGCGCAATGTCCAGATCATCGTCGACGCAGAGTCTCAGCACTGGCAGAAAGGCATCGCTCGTACAAGTCTTGAGCTAATGCGAAAGTTCAACCGCGATGGCAAAGCCGTCATTTACAACACCTACCAGGCCTACCTCAAAGACACCTCGGACGTACTCGCATACCACATGGCCGAGGCAGAGAGAGATGGCTTCACACTTGGTCTTAAGCTCGTTCGAGGCGCATACATTCTCTCCGATAACCGTTCGCTGATCCACGACACCAAAGAAGATACGGACAACGCCTACAACACCATAGCTCAGGGTGCTCTTCGTCAGCAAATCGGTATATTCGGTGCTTCCGGACCCTCTGCACGCCCGTTTCCCTCTGTGAATCTATTTCTCGCCTCTCACAACCGCGAAAGTGTACTCTCAGCCCATAGACTTTACCGTCAGCGCTTGGAAGCTGGTCTACCAACTGTGCCTGTCGCATACGGACAGCTTCACGGCATGTCCGATGAAGTCAGCTTCTCTTTGCTGGCCGAGAAGAGCGAGAGTGGTAAGGCGCCTGAAGTATTGAAGTGCACGACCTGGGGTAGTATGGGTGAGTGTGTGGGGTATCTGCTTCGTAGAGCAGTAGAGAACCGCGATGCTGTGTTGAGGACTAAGGATGAGTTTACCGCGTTACGGAAGGAGGTTAAGAGGAGGTTCTTCTAGGCATAACTGGCATAGGGCGGTGAGGTTGCAGTACATGTTAACGGAGTAGACTGATGTAATGGATACATTGTTGTAAAAGGTGCAATTTCCGTCATTCGTGCTTTAGAGTCGTCATCCCACCAAGTATAGCACCTCCCTACTTGTTAATCAGCGGCTACTATCGGCACTTGGGCGTTATCTTCGTCATGATTGTGTTTGGGTGCAGAAGAGACGTAGGCGCACAAGTGGGCCTCCGTAGTCGCTTTCCCCGCTGATAGTCGCGTGAAGAAAAGTGGGGACCGGTTTCCCTCCCGAGAACCATTACACAAGTCGAAATTCAGACCTTTGGAGGATCGTCAAATAAGGCTCTGTTGGCATTCAATATCCTCGCACAAGATCTTTGATCATACGAAGAAATTGTTCACCTCGGTTCATTACAAGTCCTAAAGTTCTCCTTTCCCGAGTTTTGGCAAGAAGTACCCAAGATATCAGCACACTAGGAAGTTACCATGTCAGACCTAACTCTCTGTATACTGGGATGCGGTGAGTTGTCCCAAAAGCAAACAGAAATAGGAAAGATTGTGCTAAACATCTTTTACTGTAGGTAATCTCGGTACACCTATCCTGAAAAGTCTCATCAACGCCTCTCCGGACTCTCTCCGTGGCATCACTCAATTTGTCGCCTGCGTCCAAAGTGAGAGTTCAGAAAGGCGACTTCAAGATCTCTTTTCTCAGCATCAAAATGTCCGTATCTTCAGGAAAGACAATATAACCGCCATCAAAACTTCAGAGGTCATAATCCTCGGTGTCGACCCTTCACAAGTCGAAGCAACATTACAAGAAGAGGGTGTCAAAGAGGCATTGCAGGGAAAACTCTTAATCAGTATCGTAGCAGGCTGGTCACGCTCTGCACTGGAATCACTCGTTGGCGCCGACCCAGAAGCCAAAGACGACGAAGAAAAGACGTGGGTTCTGCGTACACTCCCAAATGTAGCAGCGCTCGTCTCTCAATCGCTAACAGCCATCGAACACCATCCCTCGCCCTCTTTCCCAGCCCAATACTCAGCGCTAGCAACAGCCATATTCTCTCAGATTGGTAAATCACTTCCTATTCCGCCCAGTCTTATGCCCGCTACCACAGCTGTCAGCGGCTCCACGCCCGCATTCTGGGCCATCATAGTTGACAGCCTCATCGACGCCGCTGTGGCTGTGGGGGTACCTCGTAAGATAGCTCAGGACCAGATCTACCAGAGTATGAGAGGCAGTGCGGAGATGCTTCAGAGTGGGATACAGCCGGGAGAATTGAGGGATATGGGGACAAGTCCGGAGGGCTGTACGATTGCGGGGGTGATGGTGCTGGAGGAAGGTGGGGTAAGAGGCGTTCTAGGAAGAGCATTAAGGGAGAGTGTTACAGTTGCTAGAGCGATGGGCAAGGTCGGGGAAGGGGAGGAGGTGCATGTCAATGATACTAGGAAAATTTAGGTTGGTCCTGGCAATCACAAGTCGAGATAGACGGACCGAATGTGACAGCAGACGCGCGAGTGCCTATACACAGTCAGTTCAACCATCCATAGTAAGGGGAACTTCGTCGTAGAAAATCAACACGACCTTTACATCACCATGGCATACACAACAAGCAACAAGTGAGGTATTAGAATCATCAACATCTGCTTACTACTCACTACCTACTCACTGGATATAACCTTACCCACCGCAGCGTAAACGTACATCCAAACCAACCAAAGGGGCGCATGTGCGTGCGGACACAAACTACGCCTTATTCCGTTGAACCCATGCTAATGCATCCGACTGCAATCAAGGTATTTCCCCCACCTTTCGCTCATAACCGAGCTTTCCGTGAATAGATATAACGCCAAGTTGGTAGTGAAGTTGAAACGCCAAAAGTAACCCAAATAGGTATACCGGAGCTGAAGTAGCAAATGAGATCTGTTGAGACGCCCAAAAGGAGAATACACACATGGCTGGTTCGGAGGTTGAGAAGGAAAATATACACGGGTGTGTAGAGTGTGTGACTGTGTGTAAAATACGAACAGTGAATAAATGCGTTGATACTTCCTTCTCCTTCTTTGTTGCTAAGCCTTCTTTGGGCTTTCGATATTGTGTAGACGATGTTGTCATGTCTAGAGGATGCCAGCCCACATGCCTGGACCTTGTGGCCGGAAGGCTTGTGCAACCTCAGTACTGCAGCACGATCTCTTCTTGCCAAAGTCTTTCTGGATAGGAAGACGCGAGCAGTACGGAACAGTGTTCTTGGGGGACTGCAGCCCTTTGGGTTCACTGCGCGATGAGAAGGCGAATGAGTGTGACACTGATCTGTCAGGGAGCACAGGCTTCTGAGCACGGAGGTCGAATGCGGAGCGAGTGCTGTGAAGCAAGTGACGCACGTTCTGCTGGAGGTCGACTGAAGACCTTCCACGCTTACGACTCGCAGGAGCGACAAACGCAGGGCTCTCAACCTTGCCTGGCGAAGAATCCGAATCATCGATATGGAAGCTGTCCAGATCAGGTGAGGACATGGCCTCGCTTGGAGCATACTCGTATTGCTCCTTGCACTTCGACAATACGGGGTACGGAAGCCTCGCGCTGCGACAGGTCGCCAATCGAGCCAAGTTGGCCTGATTTTGAGTTGGCGCCCAGCCAGCAGATGAGACCGACGAGATTGACGAAGCACGAGAAGTGCGTGAGTTGTCCGAGACCATTGACTCTGGAGAGGATGATAGGGATGAGTTGGAGGGAGCCAGGGAAGGTCGTCGGGTTGGGAAGTGATACGCTTCTAGTCCATTCCTGACGCTTGGGTTGAACTGGTCGACACAGGTGCGCGCCAATGACGAGCACTGTGCCTGTTGCATTGCCGAGCACATCGATGTGCGTCGCGATGATCCAAAAGCCATGGCACTCGCTGCAGGAGTGTTGCTGGTAATGGATTGCGGCGTCAAAGACGGTGTCGGCAAAGGACCCAAACGAGCCAGTGATGGCAGCGATGGAGTGTGAGGAAGATCAGGCTTCGGCTCCAAGAAGCGAGGCACTTGGTAGCGCGACGGAGTTGGTGTGTTCTCCTGGGATCCGTAACCATCGAGCGACGGAGTGCGGTAAGGCGACGCGTTCAGCTGTGGTCTCAGAGGAGGACGCACAGGAGTGTTGGGTGCCTTGCGAGTCACTTGAATGATGTCCAACTCAGGCGTCAAGACAGGGATGACGTCTTTCCAAGTGTTGGGAATGGGAGCGCCAGGTGATGGCGGTGGAAGAGTAGGAGTGTGCCTCAAGACAACTTCTTGCCACTTCTCCCATACCGAGTCAACAATGTGAAGTTTCCAGTTGACAGCCTCGAGGAAAGCCATCTCGTTGGTGTTGATCTCACAGACCTTGAGGCCAGAGATCTTACTCCATGCGCGAGCCGAGTAGTTGCGGTCCTGCAGATACTTTGAGGCGAGAATGAGCGCAGCAAGGAACATGCGACGACCACACTGCAGCGCACGAAGGGATGCATCTTCAGGCTGAGACATGGTGAAGTCATGCTTAGGCAGATGAGGCTTGATCAGGATCAAGTAGTACAAGGCAACTTGGAGCGTAGAGTAGCTTGTGCGAGAGCGACGAAGTGTCTCCTGAATGAACATGCGGAGGGGAAGTACTCCGCGTCCAGAGGCATTCTCACAGCGGCTCTTGGGCTCAGAAAGTTGCCAGATAACCTCAACCATCTGGGTGGCAGAATCTTAAGAAGGGTGAATCAGCGGGGGAACCATGGTCCAGGGGTAAAGCGTGTACTAACCGACGAGGCAATCGACGAAGTTGACCTTTCGATCGGATTGCCGTACCAATTGGGGTGGAGCCTTTTGGTTTACAGCTGCCGACGATCGACGAGGATTCTGTCGTTGCTCCAGTGGGGCCAGAAGCTCGGTGCGCAGGGAAGGTAACCTCTCCTGTGCGGGCTCCCGGCATACTGCAGATTGATACTGAGGATATGTGCTAACTCGGCTGATGGGCTGGAAAGCTGACAAGCTTGCAGGGTCGACCGAGGTCGGCGGTGCTACTTGGTTGCGACTCCATTCTTCTGAGTCCCAGTTTGAGTGAGACGATGTGGAGCTTGCGCTGGACGCTTGTGACGCAGCGTCTGAGAATACTGATGAGGTGGAAGAGGAAGCAGAGGAAGAAAGGGGAGCGGCATAAGGGTGGGTCTCAACCATGTAGCCGTGGCTAGGGAGAGGAATAGCAAGACTCATGATGAAGGAGGGGTATACAGGACGGTACCTGGTAAGGAAATGTAGACAATAAGGAGTGAGCGGAGATGGGTGATTAGGCTTTGTCGTTACGTCTCGAAGTGCTGACCGTTAGGTAGACCTGGAGAGGTGGCGCAAGGCGTGATCGGGTGGTCGTGGGGTGACCGAGAACTTAACCGATGGGACAAACCGTAGAGAGCAACCCTGTGAGCTCTGACGTATATTTCGAGACGCGGTTCTCTTTGTTGTGTGCTGGAAGAGGCTAGGTTTCGAAAGCGGAACGTATACGTAGGAGGTTGAGGGGATTGACGAAGTCGCAGGTGGAAGTAGGATTCGAGCAGTGTCAAGTGGTCGAAAAGCTGCCAGGTGCGGACTAGAGCGGGCTCCAGTCACTGTCAACTGCAGAATCACCGAAACAAGACCGTTGTGATAGACCGACCGCGAAGCACTCTGATATTGCAGCTATTGAACAGCGGGCGCTGTCGCAAGAACTGGATGTCTGAGGGGATGCGGGGGGGTTCTAGCAAGTGAGGCCTCGGATGAAGGCCTTGTTTCCGGAAATAGTGGTGAATTCTGAGTGACGAGTGACTGGAGTAGTGTTGGCCGAATGGCACATTGTGTTGATGGCAGGCGATGTGGGAAGTATTCGAGGATGGTGACTACCGTGAGGAAGGATCACCAGGCTGAGCGACTTCGTGTATTCGCGGTGGAAGCGCGGATGGTTGTTGGAGAGTGTTTGTGTGGGAGTGTTTGTTTGTTGATTTATTATTATTGGGTGGTGGTGTACATAAGAGCTGTTTGCGGGTTGGTGGTGTAGAGGTCTGACGTGTGAGGAAGTGGCGGTCGGGGAGTCGGTAAAGGTAGGAAGGCGCGAACAGAGGGGGTGCTGGTCGCGACGCAGGTACGGGAGAAGGAGTATAAAAGGACAGGCTCTCTCGTCTCGTGTCGTGTATGACTGGAGGCGCGAGATGAGTCTATGCGGTAGGCGGCAGTGTGGCGGCGACAGAGGTCGAAGCGTCGGCTGCTACCTGGACAAAGATGGGACGGTTTGCGGTTTGGGTAGTAGTTGAGTAGGCGACAGAGAACAGAACAACACGTTAAGCGGTTGGCGTCCTAGATTAGGCCGCAGGGGGCGCTGTAGATGTTCGTGAAGTCCATTGCTGCTGTCTTGATGAGGGTGACGGGCTGGGCGGCGCTGGCGATACTAATAGGAACCCCGTAACCTACAGCGCCCCCAGTCCAGTCCAGTCATCGCACCCGGGCGCTATGGCCAGCTTGCCTCTTTGCCACACAACCCGACCTTGGAAGACTCATCGCTCGCGCTTTTTTTATTTGCCATCGCAGGTGGAAATGGCAGTACGTGATTTGCAGTGGTGGTTGCTTGGGCAGCGATATCGCCATCCCCCACTCTATTGTTGCTCATACACTCGTTGTTCAACACGTTGCTGCTACCATGCCATCGAGCGTGAGACGAGACTGACGCTCCATCATCACGCATGGCGGCTTCCTCCTAGGCTACAGGCAGGCATGCCAACACGGCCTGCCGCCATGCCTGGCGCAGCGGTAAATGGCCCTCTGTAACCCGCCCATTCCCTGCGCGCGCAACGAGGCTGTTCACGCTGATTGCGACGCGACAAGCTGCTGCGACACACGGCGTCTCCTTTCCTTTCCCGCTAGGCGCGTTTGCTCTCGAACGCTCCGTGCCATGGTAGCGCCAGAGTCCCAGACTGTCTGCTACACCCCCTCACAAACCCCGTTCAGCTATGTTGAGATGAAGGGACCGACCGTCTGGGAGCCAAGCACGCGTCTTCACATTGCCTGTTGTGTCATTGGGCGCGCCAAAGACGCCATCCCGAGACGGGTCATTTTGTGCCTTCACCGTGCTTTTCGTGGCTATATTTGCGGCCGACCCCCTCGACGGCTGCTGCGACGCTCGTAATCTCAGCTGCTCAGCATGCGACGCCTTCATTTGCAGCGCATCCGATGGTCCATGCCATGATGCGATGCGATGCAAACATGGCTGAAAATCGCTCAAGGCAATCGCCCGTCGCACACGAGCCCATCGTGATTGATGACGCAAAAGGCGCAAGCAGCAATGAACTGCTGCCAACACATCGCCGCCTTGCTCTGCTATGCCCTGCTCCACTCTCGCACACCGCAGTGGCTGATGACGCCGGACCTCTTCCCCAAAGCGAGTCCAAATGCGTCCATCTGCAAATCGCCTCGGCTCTCTTCATCCGACCAGCGACCGCTCTGAACATCTCTCCAGAGCAAGCGATGACCATGGTTCGCGCCTCCCACGCCCTCAGCAGAGTTTGCAGCTGCAGGCTGCATCTTCCCATCGTCGCCCCTTCCAGAAGCGCCAAGTGACCGACCTGCTGACGACTCATCGGCGCTGCCCGCCCTCCATTAGCCTCGCACCAAATCGGATGCCGAGTTGATCCGGCAAGACAAGGCCTTGGTTTGCGGGCTGAGTCACCTTGACACACCAACGAGAGCGACCTCACCATCTCCGTCGCAGGCAGACGAGACATGCCCTCTAGCGTGCCACACATTCAGCACATTGCCTCATTCAACCGCTAAAATTTGCGCAATCCTGTGTGACCAGCTTTCAGCCTTCTTGTGCAAGCTGTAAGACACATGATACCGTGTCTTCACCAGTCGCGTCCAAAAGCCTGGCGCGTAGCCACAAGCTAGCATGAAACCGTGACCACACGCCATGTTGATGATGAAGTAAAGGAGGTATGACTCACTGCTGCCTACAGTAGGTCATCCTTAAATCACACCAGCCTGACTTGGTTGGGTAGGCAACCATGGTCGGCAAGGCTGTGGCGGGACTGTTTTCCCAATTCAATATCAGCTATTCAAATCTTCAAACACTAAACCTGTATTACAGCAGTAAGAGAAAACACCTTCTCAATAGAAGAGTGGATGCGTTCATGCAGGGTACATTCAGGTTCCGATAGATAGTGTCACCCGCTGTACACGAACAAAACCCCGAAAGGTGATGGCCTACCGGGAGAGACATAGGTTCAGGCTGCTTCGGTGGCGCAAGCCAAGTGGGAACGGCTGTCCAAGTGGGAACGGCTATCAAAGTCAATGTGTCATGTATTATAGAGCTGACTGTTTATGTTGGGCCGTGATTGCAATTGCCGGAACATGTCTCATACCTTTTATCTAATATCGCCAATCCATTCCATCTGTGACTGCTACAGCTTGCATTGGGAAAAGATCCATCATGCGTTGTACATTGTCTCATTCGGCAACTGCCAGCAGTCCATATGCGTTGCTGCTATGTGGTGGCGTCTTCAGGCTTTCACATTGAAGGATATTGGGTACTTCCATCTGCACCGACCTTCAAGAGCTTCTTCTTTTTCTTCTTGTAGTGTGAGCTCATTATGCGATTCGGGTAATATCCGTACTCAAGATCTCTTTCTGTCATACCTGTCGCCGCTGCATTCTGCTTCTTCTGCGCATCCTGTTTCTAGCTTTCAGATAATCCCTCAAGGGACAGATAGTCAGTCGACATCTCAGCGAAGTAGTCTTCTGATACACTTAGCAACAGTGGCTCTCGATTCGCGTTTCCTTGCATAGAAAACGAGGCTGTTCGCTTCACTTCTTCCAACTTCAAGCACCATTGCCATCTTCGATCATCTCTTCGAATACAGTCGATACGTTGCATTCTTACCGCTTTAGCTACACCAGCCTACTTACGCTTCACGTTGTCGTTACGAGTGAGTCGGCTACCTTCATCTAAGGTGTTTAGGCTAGTCTTCCTCACTACTGAAGTGACTAAGTCTGCTGGCCCAAGCAGCATCAGATTTGATGTGCTCTTTACTATAAATGCAAAGATTTATGGCATCTCATGGATGTCTGGTGCAGCTTCCTTCAATCACCTCCTTGCAGGCTGAAAATACTCAGAAGTGGCCTGGATATCAACCTCACCGTCACCGATGCGTCAGAATTCTTCTTCGATAGCTCAAAGGGTGTCTATGATGACTCCAGCCAGTGGGTGTACTAAGACACAGTCACCTGTTACAGAATCTGGCCCATATCTGGCAGTTTCCATTTAATCCTTGTGTTTTGATCTTTTTGGTATCCTTCAGTCTTTCCACTTGCTCCCCGCGAGTTTTTGGTATGTATCTCTCCATCCAACTTCTGCAGCGAGACGTGGTTTTTGACGTGGATGTCATCAGGAAAGGGGTATATAATGTTTCCATCTGCGGATGTAAACTTGGAAGAATCGTTTGCTTTCATGTCAGATGCGGAGTTGTTCTACAGTTGTACGGGCCAGTAGCGTTGGCTGCCATCGCTGTGAGTGATGTGGAGGTGGCTAATCTCGATAGGAGAAAGCAAAAGCCAATATAGTGTTTGCCTTCATAGAGATGGAGACAAGGTCAAACGGGAATGACACATCCTGAGGTGGCTCGCTAGTCGAATCATGGTTCCAGTATGCTTGTAGTACTTAAGTTCAAACAATACCAGTTGTAGCTGGCTAACCCCGTTGACTGCAAATCTTCGAAGCAATATATTAGGCAACACGCTCCTATTGAAATAATCATCGCACACCACAAGCAAGCGACAGAACATAACACTTATCGCTAATGCAATCCTCTTCATCGAGAGCAGTCCTAGAAGCGACAGTCAAAGCCTTGTAGACGGATTGCTCAGACAAGTTTCATGTCTGAAAATGAGCTCAAGAATTCCAATGCATCACAGCCGCTCTGAAATAGATAGACAGGAATAATCAAATTAGTGGCCAAATGATCAGAGTCGACTGAGATTGAACCACATCGGACGGGATAAAGATATGCAAGTGAACGAAGGGACTGGATAAGCTCTTAGTCCGCCACGAGGTTCTTGCTTTGGCGATTTTAGATGTACCCAACGTTATCGCGATATGCGAACACAATAAGAGTACAGCGGCGGAAGGACAAGGAAACTACCTCTTCTAATGGCCATAAACCCAGATATTGCCGATATAACGATGAATTCTGCTGGCGAGTAGCCACTGCGCCCAACCATAGGCCATCCCTTCGCTCAGGAGTTTGCAAGAACGAGGCTCACCTTCGGCACGCATTTCGCGAATAGCATCGAAATCGCACAAGCTACTAACGAGGTCGCTATTCTCGACACAGTAGCAGAACGAAACCAACGAGAGGCGGCTAGAAAGGCAAAGAAGCAGAAGGAGAAGAAAGTGCCGAAATTTGGAATAGGTGGGTGTTGCACCAATGACCAATTAGAAGCATACAGTGATTGCTGCAGGAAGGGTCGATATTCTGAAAGCAAGGGTTGAACGTCCTCCCATCATTAGTGTGGCTGGGAGGTGTTCTAATGGTGGAGGCTGGGGTACTCACTCACTAGTCGACGCTATTGCGCCTAACAGCGCATCGTACCAAAGAATTTCAAAGATCGGAGGATTCGCGCCGATCGCGGTGTAACGTCACCAAGTTTTTGATTTGAGTTATCGAAATGCCACCGGGTAGGATCGCCGCGTTCGGATTGATCGCTGGTAGTAGGTCGATGGATTGATCGGCCGAGGTTGATACACTGCACTGTTTCTACTCCAATATACAAAACTCTAAAGACGGGAGTGAAAGCATAGAACTCCCGAGAAAGAATAGATGGGTTGCAGTAAAATCGTGTATATATATAAGACACAATACGGATTCGCTCAGTGTTCCTTGCCCATAAATCACGCGCTCTTAGTCTCTAGTAATCCGATAGGCTATAAACATTCAGTCGCGTGAACTTCGCATTGACATGTACCTCAGCGGGAACCTCCAGACATGAAAGGGCACGCACCCTCAGTGCTAGAAGACGTCGACACTTCGGGGTGGCCAGCAGGCATACTCTGTAAACCTGACATCTTTTCTTCAGTTGTCATTTTATCGAGAGCGGCAATGGTCTGCTCGACTTCCTCCTTAGACTGAATGAACTCATCAGGCAGCTCCTGCTCCTCAGGCGCCTTGACACCAGCCTGAGCTTCGTCAAGAGCTTCTCCTGGTGACATGTTCTTGGGCTTCTCCTCCTTCTTCACTACACCGTCGGGTGCGATCTGTCTGAACATATCCATGGGATCAAACCAAGTGCGAACGGCCTGTAGTTGCACTTTCTCGTTGACAGTGGCGACAGTAACACCCTGAATATCGATAGAACCTCCATGTGCTTTGGCTGTGACCTTCTCCCCCTTGTTGTTGAAGCCGACGTAGTCGTTCTTCATTTGGCCCCAGTGTCGCCACCGGAAGCTCACTGTCGGTGGACCGCTGTAGACTTCTAGTACTTCCCACGCGAATGTAGGCATCATGCGCTTGAACGTCTTGTGCGACGAAGCAAAATCAGAGTAGTCGGGCGAGTAGTATTCGTTTGGCGCGATGATAGCATTGTATGTGCCGACCTTGAGCATGGCTTCCGCACCTTCAGGCTTGCCGCCATTGATGGCAAATGAGTAATTCTCACGATCGATTGTACGCCAGTCGTCAATGCTAGGCTTGAAGGATGCTTCGACTTCCCAGTTCTTGACGAGGTTTTGTACGAGCTCCGGAAGTGATCCGGCTTCGTGCGTCATTTGCTTTGCTATGCATTCTTAGTAAGGTGCACTACGTCTGACCTGCAGCTTCGCTACCATATGCAGTAACTCACTCTCAGCAAAAACCTTTCTTGTTTTTGAGTAATCTGGGGCTCTGCCGTATCGCCACTTGGCATCTTTATCTCCAAGGACAGCATCGGGATTTGTAAGGTAATCAGGCAGTGCGGGTGCGGCTTCCTGCGCAGGCGGCTGCTGAACGTCTGCACTTGCCATCGTATGTTTGGGGTATGGAGTGAATGTGATGAACGGGATAAAAGGGTACAAAGATGAAAGACTGGCACTGCGGACGAGCAGACTTGCCTGCTATTAGTCTGGTATGACAAAGAATACTATAGTTTTGAGGTAGTACGAGTATGCTGTCAAACCAAAGGGAAGAGTCTCGCGCTTTATATGCCGAACGTAATCCCTTGGTCAGGATAATCCCCATAGCAGACAGGGCCAGTAAGCAGTGGCTTGATGACCCTGCAGTTGTGAGACGCAGAATTTATCCAGTAGCTTGCGAACGGGAATATTGGAAACCTCCGAGAGGGCATGCTGAGGCGTCTGGGCGAACTTTCGAACTGTAAGGCGAGCTACAGAGGCGAAATAATGTGGGGTGCAAGCCGTCAAACTGATAGCCCGGGCATGAACTGCCTGGGCCTAAGGGTCTAGTGTGTTAGACGAGTATGTCTAGACGCTTACATGGGCGGGTTGTACCGTGTCAAGGTCTACATTGGATCGATTTGTACTGGGGTGGTACGTAGTCGTTAGCTTTGTGTAACTGTTGCACAGCCGCCAAGGCTTGATTGCAAGGCTCCATATCCAATTCCAGATTGCATACCGACCTCTGCTTTCGTTCTGCGAGACTCGAAAGCCCACCCATGTTGGTTCTCGCCGTTGTATCGCTGTAGCGGCACGCTTAGTGCGAGCGCCATAAGGGACCAGGATGAAACAACGGAAGACGTGCCGAGCGGGACATCGGTTGGGGCGCGACCCCAAGGAGCAATATATAGCTCGCCAATCTGAGGTTATCAGGATCCACAGTCGAGACTCTGGTTCCAAGATGCATTGATATTGCCAAGCAAAACAACACGGCCGAGGTTAGGAGCTCTAGAACGAATGTTCTGTAACAAAAAAAAAGCGTGGGTCAAGTTCTGATGAGTGCTGGAATTTGATGTACTAGGACTGGAGTTATCGCTGCAGCCAATAGGTCTTCCGCACTCTCAGGGCGCGTAGCCAGCAGCTTCCCTGACAGTTGTAGGCCGAACACACGGAGATCCCGAGGTAAAGCTAGTGACGCCCTGAACACTGGTCGCGTATCAGGACAATTGTAGAGTTTGGTACAAGGATGATCTCCTGTAGTGCTTCTTGCCAGGTTGCAGCATGGCGGTCGAAGGTTGCAAACTCATTCTTGTCGAGAATGTCCATTGCAACTGCGTGTTACATATGATACTCCTCGAGTTTCCTCTTCTACAATGCAAGTCAATCTATATCTTACCGGAAAAACTGAATCTGGGGGCCAACAACTGCGAATGAAAACAATCTGTGGCGCCGTTGTGGCGGCTGTGCTGTGTGCTAACTGCTAGCTGCAGCGAGCGAGAAGCCTACGAGCCGCTTCGTCAGGTCTCGCCGATCATCCAGATAATTCACCCACATGGCGGGAACTCCGATTCTTCATGTGAGCTGCTAAACGTCCACGTTGATGAGGTTCGGTATACTGGTGAAGACATGCCCGAGCAGGTAACACATGGAGGCCAATCGTTAGCGCGGTGACGTCATTCTGATATTCAACGGTCCGCGATAATGTATCGCTTCACGCGTCCACAACGCAGACCTCCTTTCTATTCCTGCAAACAGCTGCCATTTCCCTAAACTTCAAAATGGGACGTCGAGATCGCCTCATCAGCGCGTCTATCTTGCGCGCCATCTTCAGATCTGACGCGCCTCGGAAAGATGAGAGCGCGCATCTAGGCCTGTTTGCGCGTATATATGCCTTCTTCGCCCTCTTCAGTCTTACTCTAGCTCGATATCGCGCGTCTCTATTCAAGAAGTTAAGGAACGATACTTGGGAGATTGAAGAGGAAGGATACATTGAGAGCTTCCGCTCTCCTAGCAAGGGCAAACGGACCGACCTGGTCCCCATAGGAGACCTGGGATACTCTGGATCAGTACGCGCTCAATATGATATCTGAGAGCAACCAGCTAATGCGCAGCAGACTTTCTTTACAACGCCTAATTCCAAGTATCTAATCAAGTCACTCCCACGACAGTTCGAGCAATCCTTCTTTCGCGATCGTCTTCTCGAACCCTATGTCGAACACATGGAGCTGAACGAGGACTCCCTCCTCGTCCGTATAACAGACCTCCTCTACTGCCCTACTGCCACCATCGGTGCTGCACTAGGCGCTGCACCAAGTCATCACATCATAATGGAGAATATCCTCTACGGGAAGTCAAGTTGTAGCAAGGACCAGCAAAAACGTTGGGAGACGTATGATCTGAAGCCGAACGATTACTTCTATCCTGAACGCGACGTGGCTAACGGACGACTGGCACCGGAGAGTGTCAAGGATCGACTTATTGATGAGTTTGAAGACAAAGTCCGAGTAACTATCGACCAGAAGGAGGAGCTCATTGCCCAACTCTCTCGGGACTCAAAGATCTTACAAAGCAACAACGCAGTGGATTATTCGTTGTTTCTCGTCCGCTATCCCGCCGACCTGAATTCGGGTGACGTGCCGCCGCCCCCCGGTCGAGGATCTACATGGCGCACAGGTGTCGTATCGCGTGACGGCAAGTGGGTTTACCGAGCCATCGTTCTCGACTTCTTTTGGTCGAAAGACGCTCTTCAGGCGCATACGATGACAGGTCTGGTTAAGCTATTCAACACACTGAAGTTTGGAAAAGATCACGGCCCCATGAGTATTACTACCACGAGCGATGAATACAGACAAAGATTCCTCGGAATGGTTGAGGACATGGTTGAGGTTCCAGACAGTGCTGGTAGACCCGCTGGAGAAGTACGTAGCCCTGCACCAGTAGCTGCTGATCAAGTGGTGTAAAGCGGCCCATGACCGCTGATGATCTTCATTCCATCCTCTTCGCTGGTAGTACAGCGTATGATTAGTTTGATACACAAGATACCCGGTCCATGTCTGCGCATTTGGGCTTCCAGTTTCTAATCACATTCCTCAATGAAAGCCATACGAATGCACACAAGAAAGCCATGTTTCGTGACCCATGACATGATGGCGGTGAGCACAGAAGCTCGAACATGGCGTCATCGCACATAGCCCCAGGCGTCTGAGTGGTTGAGGCTGCGACGCTGACGAGCCTTGCCAACGCACAACCATCTCACGATAGGCCGCGCCCGCCACGCCCGGGTAATTCCTCGCAGGAGCCTTGCGTTTTATGGCATTGCGACCCGGTTTTAAGCAAGGGGTACATGGAATGCGTATTCCGAGGAGGCTTGGTCCCGTCCACAGCCGGCAATGAGGCCAGAACTTTGTAGGATTGCATGCGGAGAATAGATGCAGTGGCAACCGTGCGTCGCATACGGTTGAATACGACTTCTGAAGGCCACAGTGGGCGAAGCCTGCGTCGCCTCAGCATCTCCAGAACACATATGGGAATGAAAAGAGGCGTCTTTGTGGTGTTCGCATCGTGCATGGATGACTGCGAGATCAACGTTGATCGGGATGCTTTTTGCATCGTAGGATTCATCTACAACGTCTATGCTGATCCCCGGGTTGCGGCTCCAATGACAGTAGCGCACGAGCCACGTCGATGACGAACGACGTCATTTTCACGATGTAGACGAGGCGCCTGCCACGGAATCGCACTATGCGTCGAATCAGCTATATTGTCGTCTTTTAAGCGCACCTGCCCAATTGCAACAAATCTAATTGCTTCTTGCCGCCGTACGTCAAAAGTCACTTGCCGCGGCACATCTTATACTTGGCCTCCTTCCCCGCGCTTTTTCTTCTCAAGAAGTCCTCCAGCAACACACCTCGCACATCTCCAAGTACAATTTATATCGCTTACACACTATAATCCGCGCTGCGCAGTCCGCTCCATTGCCACTCGTCGGCCTTCCTGCACACTATCACACCAACAAGGCTCCCTCGTCGAATCGCTGGGACCGGTCGATTGCGCTCCAATCACATCGCTGCTCGCAAGACAACCCTACGTCACCTCGACATCCGGATTTCGCGGCCCCATTGAAAGATGGCAGCCCTAGCCTTGAAGGCCATCAGCGTCGGCGCAGAGAAGGTTCCCGACAAGTTCTTCGAAAAGATCCCCGGAGGCTACTTCACACCCGCAGAACAGAAAGAAATCAAGAAACACCGTAAAGAACGCAGCGACAGACACGAAAGAGAACGACACCACAGCGAAGAAAGATCCAGCAAGCGCAGCTCACGACAAGAGCGCAGCCCGCCGACTGAGTACTCCGACTACTACACGGACGACACCGACTACGAGCGCGAACGAGAGCGACGAAAGAGAGAGCGACGACGCGCAAAGAGCACTGGAACGACTGCTAGTAGAGGTCTGAGTCGGGGACGACACGGTAGACATAGTAGCGACTTTGACGGACAGCACAGCCCTCCAAGAGACATGGCTCAACCACAGCAGGGACAGCCCTACTTCCCTCCTCCGCCTACATCCGAGTATAAGCCGTATAATCCACAGGAGTATGCTCCTAGCCCCGTGCAGGATCACCGCCCATCTGCTACTCCTGCCTACGGATACTCTCCTCAGGTAAATAATCTCTCATCTTTTCGACGCGCGACGCTTGCGACAATGCCCGAGCATCCAACACCGGCGAACAGCTGTCCGCCCATGTTGAGAAGCCGGACAACGTCGACTTCGTCCACCCCTTTCTCTTTTCAACCTCATTTGCTTCGCACTCTTTCTCGTGGTTCTCCCGTTTCTGCTGCTTTCACTCCTTCTTACGAGCCGCCTCTTGCGGCCTTGCTTCAGCGCCCACTTACTAACACTCCGAAGCCAGCACCTGCAGAGCCACGTGGTGTCACTCTAGACTATGGCCAGCGCGATGCTCCCAGAAGCTCTAGGTACATTCCTGGCCCTGGATACGCGCCGTCGCCCGCGGTAGACGCGCCCATTCCGCCTCCACCTGTTGGCTCGAATTCTCCTATGAACCCCTACCATCATACCGAGTTCCCTGCGACTGGCGCTGGCTACCAACCGTCTCCGCCGCCCTTTAGCCGTCAGCGCTCCAACTCTCAGCCTACTTTCGCGCCTGCTTTTGCGCCAGTGCCTAGCGCAGTCTACCCGACCTACATCCCCCCATCCGCTGAACAGCCAGTGGTCGCTTACAACGACTCCCAACCTCGCTCTCGCCGTGAGAGCACCAAGCCTCGTCGTGAACATCGTCACAGGGCTAGGTCCGTTGACTCTCACTCCCATCAGTCCCGCTCTAGCAAAGACCACCGTCGAGATGATTCGCGCATGACTAAAGTGCGCGATAGATTCGATAGCATGGATCTGCGCGAGAAGAGCCTGGCGGCATCGGTGGGAGGTGCGTTGGCGGGAGGATTTGCGGGGAGATCGTTGGGTAAAAGTAGGCTGACTACGCTTGCAGGAGCAGCTGCGGGTGCGTTGGGTGCCAGACAGATTGCGACACGCTCAAGGTGAATAACGCCACCCCATACTTGGTTGGTTTCAGTTCTAACAATGCCAACAGAAGCCGAAGCGATCGCCACTCCACGTCCCGTTCTCGCTCCCGATCCCGGACTCGTGCGCATGAACGCGAACGCAGCAAAGGTCCTGGCCTGCGTGCTAGAAGCCGCAGCGTAATCGATCGCTTCCGTTCCAAGTCCCGCGGCCACGACGATCGCGATTCGCGAAGGGACGATAGGCGCGATCGCGATCGCCGTCCAGACCATGGATACGACTATGGTCGCGATGATTACGATTACTTCAGCAGCGACTCTGAGGGTGATGGCAGTCCTGTCAAGACGAGGCGACACCGAAGGAGGGACTACTAGATGCATTCAGGAACGTGAGAAAGTGTAGGTTTCTACACGACTGTATTATTACACTTCTTCCTCTACTTGCCTGTCCTCTGCGTTTCATCTATGTTCCGCCTTGACTGCTTTTTTTGGCATGCATGTATTGATATGAGACGACGGTTTACGATTTACGACAGTAACGAAGAGCGTGATGTGGGACAATTACTCTTTACATTTGTGGAACGAGATTTCAGCGCCTTGATTTAAGCGTCTTTTTTGTTCGCATGTTACTGGTATCGTGAAAGAATAGCAATAGAGAAACAAAAACACAATGCTTCCAAATACTCCAGTGCACTTCCCTGTACATCGAACTCCCAAGCCAAAGTATGCAACAAACGCCCTCTAATGCTCGTCGTATTCTCGACTCGTGGTATCATGCCAACGCTCCTACACAATCAACATTTTAGCATCCCGTCATCTATCTTTCAACCCTGACCAGCGCCCTATAAACACGGAAACGGAATCAAATTCACTGTACCCTCCTCCGCAAACTCATTTCCTACACCCGCCTCTTGCATCGCAGCCTTGAACCTGATCTCACTCCTAGCCGCCAACACCTGGCCCGCCAACTCCACGAGACTCTGTCCACAAAGCCTCTCTCTGCCAACCATGAAGTCAAAGTAACTTTCTGGGAAATCGAAATGCAGGCCGACATCCCGAACGAGTAGGTCCTTCATTGCTTTCCTCAAGAGAGAGTTGCTGTCCGCCATGTAAAATCCCGTAAGTAATTTTTGCACTTGCAGTCGCTCGATGTCGGTTTCGGATTTGGTGCTGACACGGTGAGGGTCCTGGCTGGAGGTGCTGTCGATGTAGCGGCGTGTGTCTGCGCAGAGGGTCAAGCTGAGCAGACTTGGCGAGACGGTGCTAAGTAGATAGGATAAGCTAGTTGTGTAGCGTCTGGCACCGATAGACACGGGTTTCCAGACGCCGTCGCGGGAATCCAGAGTTGTCGTCATGGAGTTGGGGTAGTAGAGTAGATCGACTTCGAGATGGCGGACTGAAGGAAGGTCGGTAAGTTGGAGAGGGGGTTCAAAGGCTCCTGAGCCTTCTTCTTCTTCCTCTGCGACATCATGACTGGAGTTGCTATTGGATGAGGTTGGCGGTATGGAGGTTATGTAGAAAGTGTTTTTGCCGAAGAATACGGAGCGGGCTTCGTGGTAAATTTGCTTGTTGGTTCGGAGAATGGCGGTATGGAGGTCGTATTTGGTCTCATGACGGGCAACGGGACCTTTGATGGATGTAGGGGCGACGAGGAGGTGTGTATAGATGTGCAATCGGAGTTCTGGGGGGAGAATATCGAGGAAGGGTGAACGTGTTGTTTTCGCCATGATGGATAGATAGCTTCTCAATCAATTGGGTCTTTCTGTCGACTTATAATGAGTTGACTTGGTTGATTAGTTGGTGAGAGGATATGGGCCGATATGTCGTATCGAGAAATGAGGTTCAGATCCTTCGCAAGGCCAGCCCTATGGATCGTGAGACTACTCGGTGAGAAACGATTGTAGAGGTCAACTTTCAACAACAAACAACAGCCACAGCAGCGCGCGAACCCCTGGTCTTTATTCTCATTCCATGGTATCAAGTGACCCAGTCCACAATCGTCATCTGTCGCAAGCCCATGAATTCATTACACTTGACTCGCTCCACCTAGCATTCTAGGAAGCCATATAGCCAGGAACCCCTTCACTGGTAAGAGCCTTAGGAGACCCTTACCAAGAAAAACGCCCATGCGCTCACGATGCACACTTCCAAATACTCCTAGCTCTGCCGTCCAAAGACGCGATTGACGTGCAGATCATCGATGTTCGCAAGGATCATGTGGAAACACTGAGGCGTTCGGCTGCAGACACCCTTGCGCCCAATGTACCGGTGTAGAAGGTGATGAAACTATGGTAGGTGCTCAGGTGGTTCGGCAAGGCTCCGGAGGGCATGTCGAGCGGCTGGCTAGGTCGCTGGCAACTGCGACCGCCCCGACATGTCAGGGAGAAAGTCCGGTAGCGCGTCTATGGTGTGTTTCTAGAAACATTGAAAAGAAGGTTTATTCGATTGAGAACAGACATTCCAAGAGCGTAGCCTGGCACGTCGGCTACGCTAGGTTTGCAAGTTTTGTTCTAGAGTGCTTCGACGGACGGGCACGGAAGAGCTTTAGCCACACGCCTCTGATACAAGTCTCACGAAGAGCGTTGATGAGGCCGACACGGCGAGAGTACGGCATCGTGTAAAGTGGAGTTCTCAAGGTAGATGTAAACTTACTCTTTTTTTCTTGTTTGTTGCCGCATCGGCATGTTCCTGTGGTCTGGAAAAGACCGGGAGCCGGGCGATTTTACTTACTCGGGCAGACTCCAATCGTTCCTGCTCTCTCCTCCCCCAGGACGACTCGGCCGAAAACTCCGATGCCCCGAGTAACGGCGCCGTCTTGTCCACGTCGACTCCACCCCTTGTAGATAATCCAAAACAGCCTCAAGTCCTAGATTGCAGCCCGCTGTGTCGACTACGGGTATATTTCGCCGTGGCAATCCTTCTAGCTCCTGAGCCAACGCCTCAGATGCGACCCGTTAGCGCGCTATGCACCAGCCACGCCGCGCAAGGCTCAAACAATCGGCAGCACTACGAAGCCACGGCATGTAAGATACGAGAAGCAGAACGGGAACGCACATGGCACGCTAGCAGGATCAGCACTAGAGGGCCGGGAAGAACACTTCCACGCGAATGATAAACGAGGGAGTTGCTCAGGTCGGCTCCACACCATCTCTAGTTCCATTGAACCGGAAAGGGCGTTGTGCCTCACTCATGCAGTCTCATGCACTGTCGAGACATCGTCTGACCTGGCCTTGGGCTTTGATCTCTCTTCCTTTACCGCTACTCATCGGAAGCGCGCTTGTCGGGCCTCAGCATCGACACTACATCCCGCGTCGAACAAAGAACCGAATACGACGAACCATGGGAGTAAATCTGACATGCGGCAAGCCAGCCAAGATGGACCCCCGTGTCATGGTATGTCTTTGCGTTTTCTCCGAACTATACAATCGGACCCTGAACATCTTCTACGCCCATCCTGTACATTGTCCATAACCCTTCCGGAGCTCTATGCGCAGTCTTACTTTGCTCCACCCGCCTCACATACCATAATCCATCCTAATGACGCCTACCAAGACGCCCGGGCAGCAAAGCAGACCCTATTTTCCAACGAACCAAACCTCAGGGGAAACGCTTTGATCCATACAAAGATAGCGGTGTGTAACCGGATACAACTCCGCACTCTCAACTTGCATAATCCACATTCTCTCGTGACGAGGAGGGCGCTTACCATCACAAACGGTCCGATCTTGGGGCGTCTCCAAGGAAAGGAAAACCGAGAAAATTGCTTTTCATGCATTTTCGTGCATTTGTTGCAATCTAAATCCATCAACTTGGCCGACCGGACAGCAATCTATCCAGATTCCGATCTGGATGTGGAAGGCGTGCCGACCCCTCCTAATTCGCCGCTCTATTTTTCTTTTTTTCTTTTCGCCTTATCATGTGCATGTGAAAAGATTATATTGCTTGCTGGGCACGAATAGAGAATAGATCTGTTTGTAGTCGAATGCAGGGTAACGAATACCATGTCCATATGTAAGACGATGGGAAGCCACATGGGTAATGCCTGTGCGTCGTTTCTGCAAGATGCCGGTGAGACCAGTGGTGCGGAAGGGGCAGGAGTTGTCGGCCTAAAGTTTACTCACTCTTTGACTCCCAGACCCTGGACGTTATGAGGTCAGAATGGTACGATGTTTACCATAAGACGGGCGGACGTCGGTGTTCTGGGCGTATGCGCCATTACGCGGATTTTACGCGGGTATTTTATCTTTTGAGAGATCATGTAAAGGGTCATACCGTGACAGGGTGTCAAGCCTGGGTTTAGTGGCGGGGGCGGAGATTAAGCTTTTGGAAATGGACGGCGATTAGGCACCTGGAATAGGAAGTTGGAGTGGGTAAACGTCATGTGATGGATCGGCTGGCGAACGTTGGCCCGCTGTAGAGTGATGCAATGATGAGTTTTTTGAGTAAGTGTATATACCTATGCGCTTAAATCCGACGCGAAGACCTTCTCTGGACATAACACTTGGTTTCTACCGAACGTTCGTTTTCTAGTGTATTATGTCGCCATATAAGCAATGAGAGGAGTGATTGTGACAGAGCATTTTTACATCCGTAACAGATAGCAGACCCAGAAGAGAAACATGTTAGGTAACATATATTGCCACGCACAGACCTGAGGCAAGAAGTGACGGATTTTGTATTTTCTGTCTGTCTTGGCTTTGTTACGTGACTAGCTAAAGCAAAACATAAGCCCGCTCCTTCCGGTAGGTCGTACATGAACAGGTTCTCACAACGTGAGTGTGAAATGACATAGTGACGTTTTCCTTTTCGTCCAGGAGCGATCCTAAACCTTCATTCAGTGTCGCTCGATACGTAGATGATCTCATCATCTTGACCTGGAATGCTAGGTTCGCGACGTCGCCTATTGCTCCTGCTGCCCGAAGCTATGCTCCTGTCAGAGAAGTCATTGATGCCGTTCAGTACTCCATCAGAAAGGTTCATAGACGGAAACGCATTCTCAATGCGTCGCTGTTGTGCATGGTTCCCACCCCTCTGTTCCAGCAGAGCGTCCAGTTCCGAGAGATCATCTTCCGCTCCGATGAGGCCGTTATCAAAGGCGTCGAGGGTCTTAGCTATGATCTGGTACATAGCCTGTGCCATTATAGGAGGGAACGCATTGCCAATCTGTTTTGTAGCATCGCTCTTAGTGCCTGTGAACTCATACACATATGGGAAGCTCTGGAAGAGGGAGAGTTCGCGTGGCGTGAACGCACGTTCGCCGGACGGATGAGTCGCGGTAGTACCACCAGTAGTGATGCAGCCTTTAAGGAATGTGTGTGGGTCGTAGGCTGGCCTAGGGTTGGTGTACAGTTTCGGCTGGTGGTATGGGTCGTTCATAGCGCGTGGTCCCTGGCGAGTGATATGCGTAAGGGCTTCGTCGATGTACACGAAAGGCTTGAGGCTACTTCCTGGAGGGCCATGGCTGGGTTTTGGAAATGGAGGTAAAGGTGTTCCTCGTCTTGCAGCAATGATCAGCAGACGTTTCCGTTTCTGCACAAGACCGTGTTGCGATAGATCCTGGACTTTATAGCGGACATCATATCCGGCCTGACCGATGTCATATAGTAGCATGAGAAAGTTGCGCTTGTGCTGCTCGTGAGTGGCGAGGCCAAATGTCTGCTCGAGGGTTGCAACCCGAGGCTTCACCTTCTTTAGGATAGGACCAACAGTGTATATTGCTTCGTAGTTGGCTTGATCGTTAGGGCCGTCAGTGGTATGCGCAGGGCTCCAGTAGCAACATGGGGGCGATAGATGAAGGACGTCAACCCTCCAATTTTCTTTGCTAATACCCTCTGGCGGAAAGTCGTGAGCATTTATCTTTAATGAATACGCACCAGGATGGTTAAGGCTGTATGAATCCAGTGCGCGTTCATCATTATCAAGTCCCCACTGGACATAATAGCCCGCCTGGGCAGCGCCTTGGGACGCACCTCCAGCTCCGCAGAACACGTCCCCAAATGTTAGCCGACCCTGCTTTAGCAGATTTGCAATCTTACGCTTTGGGGGCTTATCTTCGAGGATTTCAAAGTCGGGAGAGTCGTCACGAGTACGTCGCTTCCGTACAGATGAATCTTTGCTAACAAGAACGCAGTCGTCATCTTCTACAGAGATAGGTGTCTCTCGCGAGTAGCCAGGATCTGGGATGCAGTCTTCCGACTTGTCGGCCTCATGGGTGTGTAGATGACGCACGATGCCACCATAAGGCTTGTTTCTGCCTCTGCTGATGTAGAGTACGTTAACGACACGACATGTCAGCCGACTCTCGTGGAAGATCTGCCGCTTAATTTCGTCATCACTCATACCACTTGGGTACGCAGTATTGCCGTCTGTTCGGAAGCTCATAAACGGGTAAGGCTTGTTCGTGAGTGTGCACTCGCGTAAACGGACCACCTCTTCAATCTTCACATCTTCCATGCCGGCGACAAGAGGCGAACGGCTATCATCTTCATCGACGCGTAGCACCATTCCAAGTTCGTTGAGTTTCCCTATCAGGTCAGTAGGCGTCTAATTCTCTACTAATTGCACTTACAGTCAAAAATCTGGCCTAGGTATTTAGTGCGCCGCAGTCGATAGCCTCTCAGTCGGACTTCATCTGTCTGCATGTTCATAATGATGGTCTTGATGCGGAGGAAGTCGCCGCTGTGCATAGCTTCTAGTTCTTGTTCTGAATGGTCCCTGAGCTCTACCGTGTCACCAGGTCTAACGATGATGCCCTTGGCCATCTTGAACCTCTGTATCGTGATATCCGGGAGAGAGATATCACCGTAAGATGCAAGCTTCTGTGTCGTTCTTTGTCGATTTTTAGAGGCCGTATGAGCTCGGGTGGCGTTTGTGAGAATCTCATAGTCGGACTCATCCTCTGAGTAGTTGAGGAGCTCGATGTCACTATCGTTACTGTTCCAACTCTCATTGTCATCGACAGCGTTCCCACGGCGGTAGGACATAGTGGAGACAATTTTGTAGATCGGCTGTGTAGAAACTGAGTAGTGTGTAAGAAGGCCTGTAGAGTGTTGGATTGTGTGAGAAGGGACTTGCGAGATGAGGACGCGAAGTTACTGCAACGATTAGGCGCCTAAATATGTTCCCACATTGAGACGCGCGGTGAAAGTGAGTGAGAACAGCCATTACAGATCAGTGGTGAAGCAGTAGTACTAAGCAAAAAACTGCAAAATTAGGCGCGTAAGACAGGTGCTGAGGGAGAAAAATATGAGGAGTAGTCTGTAGAAATAGACGTGGCTTGTGGTGGCAGGAGCAAGGCGGTAAGAGCACCCCGCCCAGTCCCAAGGGGTTGGTATAATTGCGGTGTGCGTAGCAAGGCGCAAGGTACGGTAATAGACAAAGTAAGGATTTGAAGATAAGAAATGCCGCAGGATGCTATATCCTACCAAACCCAACTATACAAGGGCGCCTTCCCCCCAGCCCCAAAAGGTCGATTGCTCGGCATAACTCATCGGATGGTCTTTTGTACAAACTCCTTCTCCAGCCGGCCGACCTCGTGCTTGAAGGTCTCGACCTCTTTCCAGCAATCCAGCGGTCGTCGGTCGTGGGTCCTCAGACATGAGACGACAGCCTCCTTTGCCTTTGTGACGTCGGCATCGGCCTGTTCCAGCTTCTTCCTCTGCTCCAACTTGGCCTTGAGCTGCTCAATCTCCTTGGTGACACTGTCCCTGCTCATGTCCTTTTGTCGTTGCTTCTCGGCGAGGGTTGAACTGCTGGATGTCGCATCTTGGATCTTCTCGACCAGGGAGGGCTCATCCGACTGTTGACTCTCTCCGGAGAGGGTTTCGCTGAACTTGGAGAAGTTCTGCGTCTCTTGCTCGCGCAGCTTCTCGAGCTCGGCGGTTAGGCGTTCCTGGTATTGGAGTTCCTGCTGTCTTGATCGCGCCGAGTCTGTCTACGCTCTGTTAGCCGCAATTCGCCCATGTGAGCCATGTGACCTACGAAAGTGTTCTTCTGCAGCGATCCGACGAGTTCGTTGGAGAAGCTGTAGGGGTGATCTCTGCGCGCAAATTATCAGCACACGACGTCACTTGCTCGCTGCATCTCGTGGGAGGGGCTGGAGCCATTGACGGCGGGGACTGCGACGTACGAGGAGAAGACATGCTGCTTGACCTCTGACGAGGGTTTCGAGTTCTCGGCGCCCATGGTTGCGGTGGTGGGACTGGGGATATTTAGGGCGATGATGCTGTTTCCTGCGAGGAAGTCGGAGCTGACGGCTTGGCCGACGAAAGCACGCTAAGAACCATCCCTGTAAACCATCTCGAGGCGCGTCAGTACCAGAAAGTTTCCCCTCGGGTTTGTGTTTGTCCAGTGTAAACAACTCTGCTTGGCAATTCACAGACTATCGCGAGGACAGAAGCCGAGCGACTCGTTGGTCTCGCAGTCACACCATTAGATTATTATCATTCCAAACTGCCTACGTCACAACAACCCACTCGACCCCCCTCCTCTTGCGATGCAGTCTTCACTGAACAATTGGCTGAAGAAGCCAAGTCAGGACAGCCAACCTGGACAACCCCCAAATGCTCCTCCAATTGTGTCGCCAAGGACGAACCGACCGCCACCTCCCCCAAAGTCAGTTTCAGCGCCTACGCGCGTGCCCTCCAACACAACGCCTACGCCCTCAGCAATGGAGAACTGGAATGACATACCTGACGACTTCCTCCAAGCCCCCTCAAGACCGCGGTCCAAGAAAAGCCCTCGTCCGTCTCGAGCAGTCACGCCTGCCATCTCGCGCATACCTTCGCCCATTTCCCTCTCCCCTCAGCAACCCGCCATTCCACACCTCTTCGCCCTACGTCCTCTGCCGCCCAACGTCCAACTCGTACCCCTTTCCGAAGACTTGCTGCCATCATTCAAGCGCTTGAATACCCTCACTCTCCCTATATCCTATCCGGAGACCTTCTACAAAGAGACTATGACGGAGCCACACCATGGCATTACCCTTGTGGCAGTGTGGCACTCTTCGCCTACCAATGCCAACTCGACATCGCCTGCAGAGAAGCCAAACCTCGTTGGTGCCGTTCGATGTCGCATACTGCCTTCCTCGCAATTATACATTTCTACCATTGGTGTCCTGGCTCCCTACCGCACCCACGGCATTGCCATGCATCTTCTACAGGCTGTAGTGAAGAAGGCCGTCGAGCTTCATAGTGTGCGCTGTGTCACGGCGCACGTGTGGGAGGCCAACGAGGAAGGCATGGAGTGGTACAAGAAGCGGAACTTCGAGATACTCGAGAAAGAAGAGGGCTATTATAGAAAGCTGAGGCCGCAGGGTGCTTTCCTTGTCAGGAAATGGATTGGCGTTGGTGACCTTCTGGGCAATGGTACCCTTCAGCAGAATGGGGCAGGCAGTGAATGATTTGGACAAGACCCTTTTGCCCTGGACACGGACCATCATTCATCCTCACCGATGTGCGTGTAAGCGCACTGCTAATGTCATTTGCCTAGAACAAGCTTAAACAGTGTATACCCACGGTCTGGCCCAGTGTGTAATGCATCGCTTGCTTGCCTTACATTCACCTGCCCCCGGGTCACGGTACGATGCCGCGATCATCCGCGGCGTCACTCGGATTCCTCGTAACCTGTTCCGACTACCAGTCTCACTGCTTGTATCGAACAATCTAAGCTTGCGCGATCTGGAAAGTCGCACAAGTCATGGTCAGCTTGAGTGGCATCTGAGTCTGGTGGTCGGACAAGGGTCGACTGGGTATCAATTTGCGGCTAAAACACATCCCCGTCTATAAGAGTCGTCGTGAACAAGAATAGTATCAAAACCAGTCGCGAACCTTCTCGGAACGCAACCGAGCTTCAACTCGTGGCCGAGACTAGGTTCAGTCGAAATATGGGTATAGCCGCGCATCGTGGGCAGCCTTATTCGAGAAGCAGTCTACAATACACAACACCAAACACGGGCGTATACCCAGGTGAACCTGTTTTTTCATTTTGCCAGCCTTCGCCAAATGTGTCGTTCTGAGTGCTTTGCCTTCTCTGACTGACTGACTAACCATACAAGCTCTCGGTAGGCTCTACATTGCCTGTACCATCATTATGGCACACAAACTCGCTAGCCACAATATAGGCGAATGCACGAGCAGATTGAGATGGCCTCGTATTTTACCTTGGCCCCAGTTAGACTGCTGTCTATACTGGAGCCGTGGGTATCTAGAACTGTAGCCATGAAGCAATTGTTGAGCCTGGTGGTGACTTCCTTAGACTAGCAGCAAAGGTCTGTGGCTATAAGATGCTTTCCATGGCCCACGAGGCCGAATTCCACAGCTAGCTCAGCATTTCCGTTCACTGAAGCATTATTATCTGTCCATCACCATGCAGCTTACTATACTTGCGCTTCTAGCGACAAGCCTCTCGACAGTGTGCCTTGCAGTATGTATCTCGCCGTTAAGCTAGACATCTTGTACTGATTTACCAACAGGCGCCGGCCAACAATCATGTCGCCCTCGAACCACGCCAGACCTACATAATAACTTGTACCAAGGGTGGATGCACCGATAACATCAGCCGCACTACGCCGGGTGTTCCAGAGCCAACAACAAGCAAGATCACAACTACAACCACCAAGAAACCTGAACCGCCCAAGACCAGCACGAAGCCGGAGCCGACCACAACGAAGAAGCCAGAGCCGCCCAAATCAAGCAAGAAGCCAGAGACAACTCCAACTCCGACAAAGGCTAGTCACATACTGATTCGACATAATCTTGTTTTTGACTTCTTCTAACATACTTAGACCACTATTAAAACAACGACAAAATCGACGGTGAAACCTACCAAGACCACCACTGAAGAGGTTGGTCCGAGCAGCACCAGATGCCCTGTCCCTCTCTACTACAAATGTGGAGGCTGGGATGGTGGTGTTCCTTGGGCTGGTTGCACAGTATGTGTCAAGGGAGCAACCTGTGTGGTTCAGAATGGTATGTGGAGATTGATACGACCCACATCCTATGTTATGAAGCTGATCTTCGATAGAATGGTACTCCCAGTGTGTAGCAGACGACAGCCTTTTGGAGGAGAGCTCTGTAGACGAAGAGTGATATGGGTAGTTTTCGCACACTTAGTTCAATGAGTGTTGCGTGAATTCAAGCATATATCTCTGCCCGGGCATCTTCAGACTGGTTCCGTTATCAGTCCAGACAGTTTCCACTCTGCTTCTACTGTAGCAACAGCTGCTCCTTTCCTCCGCATAGATGATGGCGCTCGGTGTTTCACGAACCTGATCTCTCACTCATGTTTCCCAAATAAGGTGATTACCAAGGCTTACTTTGCGCGTCGAAGCATGACAAGGCGCACGAAGCGGACATGGTGGGGTAGCTTGAACACGTCCCTGGTACGCCCCACCATGCTAATCAATTCCCATACGAACGTCATACATACGGACTGAGCTCCGCTAGCTGCCGCGCACCTGTCGCGCATACTTCAACTAACACTTTCCCTGTAGTTTATCTTCTTCAAACCTCTCTCAATATCTTCTTCTAAACGCGCATCATCTCTGAACTGTCAATTGACCCGATCCCTTCGCGTCGCCTCGCGTTGTTCCCATCTTCCTTTCCCAGCAACTGCGATAGCAAGTCTCTTGATAAACATAATGCCCGACCCACGAGTCTTCATAATCCGCCACGGCGAAACAGAATGGTCACTCAACGGACGCCACACAGGAGTCTCGGACATACCGCTTACAGAAAACGGCGAGAAGCGTGTAAAATCCACAGGCAAAGCGCTTGTAGGCGACGACAGATTGATTGTACCAAGTAACCTAGCACACATGTACGTTCTCGATTCTAGCAAGAAATCTTTTTGAACAAAGACCCCACGGCTGACATTGATACCCAACAGCTACGTTTCTCCCCGCACACGCGCCCAACGCACTCTTGAGCTCCTCAACCTAGGCTGCAAAGAACGCTATCCCTGGCACGACTCTTCCAAACCGCACACACCAGATATCCGCACGAACGCCAAGATAGAAGTAACAGAGGCAGTCAGAGAGTGGGACTACGGCGCCTACGAAGGCCGCGTCACTTCGGAAATCAAGAAAGATCGTGAAAGCCGCGGGTTAGGCGCAGACTGGGATATCTGGAAGGACGGTTGCGAAGACGGCGAGAGCCCGGAGGATGTCACAGAGAGGCTGGATAAGCTGATCAAGGAGTTGAGGGAGAAGTACCACAAGGGCAGATTTGGCAAAGATGGAAAACCCAATGATGTGTTGATTGTGGCGCATGGTCATATTCTGAGAGCTTTTGCGGCTAGGTGGGTGGGCAAGAAGTTGGAGGAGAATCCTAGTTTGATTCTCGAGGCGGGTGGTGTGGGGACACTGAGTTATGAACATCATAGTCTTGAGGAGCCGGCGATATTGCTGGGTGGTGCTTTCGTGGTTGATGTTGTGGAGAAGGAACAGGAAGAGCAGCAGAAGAGCTAGATCACAGGTCACAATTCATATCAATCGGCAGGTATGTGTGTTTAGTTCGTTGCTTTCGTTGTCGTAATCCTGTTTATCCTTCTTCGCATTTGCGAATCTCATCAAGTTCCCACAACAGCAGCTCTTGGTATGGTGGCCTGGTAGTCCAGACTCTTCTGTTTAGCAATCCGGGCGAGCTGCTCCCTATTTTTGAGTGCCCAAAGACCAAACTCACGTACTGCAAAGGCGTTCATGAGGCTATCCCGACCATATTCCGGGTCATTCCTAAGATTGATCTCAGAATAAGTCTTGCACAGACTATCCAATGCTAGCTGCGCCTTGCTGAGTGGACCCTGAGCAGCTTTCTCAACGACCTTGGCGATATCAACAGCACGTCCGTGGACCATGCGCAGGGAATCAAGATCGGAGCGCAGATTGTGGCCGACCACGATAGTCTCCTTGTCGACGAATTTGTGTAGTGCGTTCCGTGCTGCCATCCAGCCCTTGAAGACCTTGTATCCAGACTTTCGAGCTGCTTCCATATCCTTCCAGCTGAACAAGCCGGTGACCGCGGAGCGCCAATCCAAGACTTCAGCGTGCGGATCTGTGCAGACGAGGTGATTCATGAGAATTCGACAGGTGGCAAGGTCGACAGCTGCGATTTTCACAATTTCCTGAAAGCCGCCCTTAAGCACAACTTTACTGCATGAGATGGCGACAACATCCAAAGCAGGCTTTGATGGGTTACGAGCGGGAGAGGGCTCAAAGTCGCTAAACGGATACTCAGTGTTGTAGTCGTCCTTGAAGGCCTTTGGAGCCGGTACGTATTCGCCTTGTAGGATCTTCGGGAGATGGCACATGGTATCGAACATGGCAACGACTTCACGCTGTTTTGCGACGCCAATACGAGTCCAGTCAATCCCGCAGACGTTCATCTTACCATCGTGTTGAATGAAGATGTCGGACTGGATCAGAAGCCGCAGGATCTTCGCTTGGACTTGTTTGGCTTGATCCAGCTCGGCAACACCGCTCATGATCGTACTGGTGGGTAGTTGGGCTGGCTGAGTAGGTGGCATATGATGTTGTATTGGCATAGACCGAGCGAAGGTTAGGGGCTGCGAGGGTACTTGCTGCGTCGTACGATGTTTGGAAGGTGTCATTTGGGGTGCTGGAGGTGCCATACGAGACGCCGAAGGAGCACCACGAGGAGCGGAAGGTGACGCGCGTGGGGCAGGGCGACCTCGCTGACCACGACCGCGAGACGACGCGGAGGAAGGTTGCAGTAGTAGGCCTTCTTGCCTCATCTGCTCCCTCACGGCTCGACCGACCGCATTCAGTGCCTGACCACCAATACCATGGGCATCAGTCTTGTGTTGATTAAGGCCAGCTTCCGACCTAAATATCCTACCGCAGCCTTTGACATTGCACGCGAAGCTACTCAGGTCATTGATTGGAGCAGACAAGGTGGACGAGGAAGATTGGACGCGAGGTGCGGGTGCTGCTGTAGGGGCCTGGCGTTGCTGTGGACTAGCTCTTACGTGGTTTGTGATTATGCGTGTATTGCTACCTGGTTTAGTGGCTTCCAGTACTTGGCGGTGCTTCTTGGACGAGACGGGCGTGCAGCCTAGCATATGATTGTTGTAGTGACCTCTCGAGTGGAACATACGCTTGCAATCGTGGCATTTTACTCCGTCGTCGCTATCAACAGTATCAGCTTCTGATGATGATGCGTTGAGGTCCTCATAGGAGGGTACGATTGGCGATTCGTCTTTGGGTCTGTCCAGGTCAACATAACCCCGGGCAGCTTCGGGAGATGTGGTGGAGTGCTTTGGGGCAGTGTGCCTCCAATCGGCACAGTCAGAGGCGACGTTGCTGCGGTGGGCATTGTGTTGTTTCTGGTTGGTGAAGGTCTTCTGGCACCGATTGCAGGTGATTGCCATTTCAGATTCTTTTGTGAGGGCCTCCAAGCCTTCTTTTCGCGGGTTTGGGGGAGCTGTCTGTGGATCTCCGTGGCTACTCTGGATTCGATGAAGCTCTAGGGCGTGGGAGTCATCGAAATTCCACCCACAAGTGGCGCAAATGAGCTTCCTATTGCTTATGTCGTTGTGATTGGCAGTGTGCTGGCGAAGAGCAGCTTTACTGGTGAAGGATTGCTCGCAGATCGCGCAGTGATATGGTGGCTTGCCGCCTCCCCGGTGTGTCATCGCTAGTGAGATAGCAACCGGAAGTCACCCTGTCTGTTGCAAGTGAGGTGAGTCGTCTTCTTAGCCTCTGTTTGTGGGGTCAAATACTGTTAGGAAAGCGCGACGGGCACGGACTGTTGATTGTTGCGATACTACGTGGGCTACTGGAAGCTTCTGCGACTCACCTTCATCTCAGCAGTGCCTCGCTATTTGTACAGTCTAGCCTACGTAAGTGAGTGAGCAGCTAATTCTATGTCTTGCCTAGAGCCCAATTTGGACGTTCAGTCTACTTCCCTGGTTCCAGGTGTGGTTAGCATAGGCCGAGTCGATGCACGATCCTAAGACCCTTTGCGATATGTTGTGGCTCAAATTTGTTGGACGATATTTGGGCGTGAGAGTAGCCGTATCCTGTCAGTCAAGAGCAGCGTACAAGGAACATACGTGAGATGAGCGCCTCTTGGTGCCATTGAGGTCTTCTCTTCAGTGTTGTGAGTATGCTGTCGCATTTCTATATGACTTCCTAGACTGACATGGTAGTTTACAGCTACTCTATTGCAATCAAGTACTCATGCTACGCATAGCTTCGATACATTAGCAATACTCAAGGGTGTTCCCAGTACTCATGAGTCTTCATGACCAGGTGTACCTAGGTAGTGAGTACCTTTAGGGTGCTTGATGTCTGAAATGCAGATGAAGACTTTTGGGCTTCGGCATATGGTAGGTAGCTGGGGAGGTGTCAAGCAGCGGCAGCAGCAGTAAGGGACACAATCTCAAAGATTGAAGTATTGGTGAGTGACCCCATCAGATGCTCATAGTCTTCGCCAAGAAATGCCTCACAATGCCTAAGATCCTACCTATCCGCATGCATGACAATGCATACGTCGTACTTGCACCCAAGCGTTCAGCCTTCTGAACAGCATAATACAAGACCCATTCCTTCAAAGTGCACTGGCCACTCTGTCCCGTCATCGCCAGATGTCGGAAGCGCCACGAACCTCCCTAGCATTTTAGTCTCCGCTTATCGTAAAACAAACAAGAACGGCATCTCGCGATGCGACCTTAGATGACTCGTCTGCGCCACGAGATGACGCATTCGAGATTTGCGGCACATTTTGGAGCTTTATTGAGGATCGAGCCTCTTTGTTGATGCTTTGACAGCAGCGCTCGTCCCAGTGAAAGCCCTGGTAGCGAGTGATCGAAGTCGTAGATAGAGTGCGCAAGCTCGGTTTCGACTTGGTTGACCGTGTCTATGCTGTACCGCACATCAATGGGCGCATACATGCTGTTTAGACTCGGCGGGGACAACGCCACGGCTGACGGGTGTCGCGATCACAAAGTGCTGTCATCTGCCCCACGGCATATGGCGGAAGTCGAGGTCGATTCGACAGCCGTGAAAGCTGCGATATCTTGATGACTATACCAAAGAGTTGGAGAAAAGACTACGGCTGCGAAATCTCGTGGTGCTGATCGGGCTTGCCACGGCTAGCCCATTCACGCGCTAAGTCTCAGCTGTGGGGCTCTGCGGGGTAGCTAGCGTCCTCTCCGCAAAATTGGTGGCTGCCTCCCGTCTTCGCAGGGTGCGATGGCCAAACTTACCAGTAGAGTGTGCACCTTTGCTAAAGCTGTGCGCCTCCCTTACGTCCAAATGTCGCTTTGATGGAATTCAACACCTTTGTCTGGCAATGCAATCAGGCTAAACGCATCTGAGATGCATGAATATGCGCTGTTTGGGCCCTACATCCCTAATACATGAGATAAGCTGCAAGCTCTTTCATCCCGGGTCCAGACGTGCATTTTTCGACAAGGAATTCTCCAACATTGGCGCACAAAAACCTATGGATTGCCGGCCCCCTGTGGGGCTTCAGATGAATGAGAGCTGTGCGGGGGTCGCAGAGACCACATTTTGGACACTGAACCCCCAGGAGGCGCACGCTACCCCTGGTCGATGGTAGCGGCAGAGCTGGACGAAACTTGGGGATGCCGATCATTCATAACGCGCGCTGTCCCACGTTGTTGACACCTGTATTCTGGAACCATTCGTGGGATTCCTAACATTGCTTTTAACTTCCTCGTTACATCATCGGAAATTTTCTTAGTATTGTGCGGGTACAACCGTCACCATGGGTTTCCTCGGTATCGTCGAGGATAAGCATCTTGCGCATGTGCCTGCAACCGTCATCCTCAGCGAGGAACAGAATCCTCTCAATGTCTCAGAAGTGGCTTCGGCGAGTCTGAAGCGTGGCACTGGCAAAGATGCAGACGTTATTCTGATACCACAACCGTAAGTACTGCTAAAGAGCTGCGTGTTCAGTCCATAGTACCTACAACATGACTGATACGATGCAGTTCCGAAGACCCCAATGATCCATTAAATTGGTCATACACCAAGAAGATGGTCATTATGATCATCGTATCCTACGGCTCTATACTCTACGCTGCCGTGCTATCTCCCCTTCTTTCACCTGCACTGGTACTCATCGCAGCAGACTATGGAAAGAGTGTCGGAGACATCACAGTCATCTCCGGATATATGCTACTGGTGACTGGAGGCGTCGGACCTATCGTCAGTGCATTGTCTAGGAAGTATGGAAAACGTCCCCAGCTTATAATTGCGTCGCTCTTCGGTCTGCTTGGGACTGTAGTCTGCAGTGCTGCAAACAGCTACGAGGGTCTCTTAGCTGGGCGTATCATTCAAGGAGGTTCTGTGTGCGTATGATCTCACTCTAAGGATGATATGTGCTAACTTCCTGCAGCTCTGCTTTCGAGTCCCTCGTAGTCGCCATGATTGGTGATCTCTTCTTCGTCCACCAGCGTGGCGGATTCATGACACTCATCCAATTCATCTTGGGCGCCGCGTCGAACTTCTCTGCTATCATTGTCGGACCTATTGCAACGAATCTCGGATGGCGTTATCTGTTCCACATCCTCATCCCTTTCGTGGCTCTCGAAGTCATTCTTCTCTTCTTTTTCGTTCCAGAAACCAACTACATTCGTGATCATCGGTACGATATCGATGAGCTATCCAACGACAACCTCGCAGACCTTGCAGCGACCGAGAAGCGACATGCCGGTAACAGCGAGAAAGCCGGAAGCGACGACATGATGAAGATCGAGACGGCGACCAGCTCCCCACCTGCCCTGCGCCCAAAAAAGACCTACGTACAGGAACTCGCCATCTTTACAGGGACGTACTCAGATGATAACCTGCTGCAGCTCGTCATTGCGCCTTTTGCAGTTTGCGCAAACATGGCTGTACTCTGGATGGTCATAGTGACAGGAGGGCTCACTGCCTTCTTTGTTGCACAATCATACGTCATGGCCCAGATCTTCATGGCTCCTCCATATCTGCTCAGCGCAGCTGGTGTTGGCTACCTCTCTTTGGGACCTTTTCTGGGTGGCCTTCTCGGATCGATCCTCCTTGGCGCGACACTCGACCCTCTTATCAAATGGTGCGCAAAGAAGAACAGTGGAATCTACGAGCCGGAGTATCGTCTACTTGCTATGATTCCGTCCGTGACGATTGTCATAGGTCTATGCTTGTTCGGTCATCTCGCCGAGGAGGGCAAATCATATTATCTTACAGCCTTCTTCCATGGCATGGACCTCTTCGGAATCGTCATAGCCGCAATCTCTGCCTCATCTTATGTCCTGGATTCCTTCCGCGATATCAGCTCTGAGGTCTTCATCATCAACATGGTTCTCAAGAACTTCCTGTTCTACGGCTTCTCATACTTTGTGAATGATTGGGCGGCTAGCGAAGGACCTGCTGTTGTGTTCTATACCTTTGCCGGTATCGCTGGCGCAATGATCATCACGACTCCCGTGTTCTTTTTCTGGGGCAAGGTATACAGAAGCTATTGGCACAGGCATAATCTGTTGCAGAAGTGGGGTATTGCGACGCATGCGGAGATATAGACGGGTTGAATCGTATAGCTGGAGAGAGATTTGAGGCCATGCTATCGTAGTATTAGCTTTCCAATATGGTTTATCTATTACTCAAATATCCCTAAGCCCTGCAATTTTCGGTTGCATACTGCCCGAGGCTTTGAAATCCTCGAACGTGAATAGAAGGATGAGATTTCCCATGAGTTTAGCTTGTTCCGCCAAGTTCATAACTCCTATGCTGAACTCACCCATTGATTTGAATACAATCAGCAAAATGCATCCCAATCTCTTCAATAAAAGACAAGACCATTTCAACATCCTATGTGAGAGATATGCGTACATCGTGAACGTCAATTTCTCACGTGCCGGAGCCAATTGTGCTCATCTTAGGTCATTGTCCTCTAGTTCCCACATCCGACCTACCTGGCCAATGCTCATCATTGTGGTTGGATGTGGTGTGGAGTCATTCGTGGAGTAAGAGCAGAACATATCCAGGATTAGACCAGTGTGCTTGCAATGTTGGCCTTGACACAGCACAGCAGCGTCGACTGGAATTTACAATCGCCGTATGAGACTACGAGCTGCTGCTGAACAGCGGAATATGGACCCGAGCAACTGGAAATACATGAGTATGCATACACAGCGCCGTTGCACTGCGTTCGCTCGCTCCGACGGAGCCTTGTCATTGGGCGGATGTTTCGAAACGTGTCCTGCAGGTAAGATAGGATAAATTGCCGCGCTTGATCGAAGCCGACGTGCGCGTGAGTTACGAGTTCTAATTCAGATTGGAATGCCATGATCGATCTTCAGCCGGTAAGAACTACCAGTGTGAGTGAGGGTGGTATATTTGGAACTTATAGCACGCTTGGGTACCGTTTTCATGTGAGATACCGAACGCGATTTCATCCGATATCGCCGGTTATGGATCACTGAGTAGCATTTCACATAGTAGGCGACTGAGATCATGCTGGCTGGGCGCTTCGAGAGGCGATCACAGTGCCGCAATGAGGGTATGCGCGCTCGGTACGCTGAACCCACGTTCTCTGCTGCAAAGTAATATATTCCCAGCAAGATCTACATCGCCACCCTTCTCGAAGACGCTTGAAGTGCCACCAGGCCCATAAAGTCGCCCAAGATATCATCCAAGCGCTCGATGTGCACACTACCCGAGACCTCGGGCTGACTATATCGTGGCAACTTAGCATGTTCGATTAGAGTTGCAGCCACCAACCCCACTGCACGTACTTGAGCGCGTAGACAGTCTGGAAATTGAGTGTACCTGAAGATCCGGCACTTTGGGTTATCGATACTCACACTAATCTGATCGCATTGGGCAAATTGAGGGTCGTAGGGCTGGCGGTTACGCATCGCGTATGTACGTTGACGTGCGGGGCGGCCTCCAGGGCGGTCTTTGGGCGCCTAACGGTTGCGAGGTGCTGGAACCTGTGTTTGTGTGTTTGTATACAGAGACACACGACTGGTCTGGACTTGGATCGCAATAAGGGTCATGCAGGATAAGAAGTTTGCGTTTCAGGGTATGACTGTATCACGATAATCGTCACTTTTCCCAGGATAAGTGCGCCGGACCT